AGGTAACAGAAGCCTCAAGGTCACCACTAACATCACAAGTCAACACCGCCAGTTCGCCAACTGCTGTAATGGTTCTTTCAGGAAGATCATTGACGTGAGGTTTATCTGAGATTTGATAAAAATGGATTAGTTATTCCTTAACAAAGCTCAGGACAAAAAGTAGCGTGCTGGCTTTGCAGCCTCTCTTCTCAGCTAAACAATAACATAAAAAGCTCCTCAGTTGATGGCCAACTTCAAAACAGACAACCAACCAAATCAGCATTTTAGCCTTTCATTGTTAAACAAATCAAAGGTTAGATCAAATTAGGTTCAAGTGTGCTCACTGAGTGCTTAACGTCTCCGAATATCTGAATAAGAAAAACATATGAAGGAAATAAAACAAAACAAGACAACAAAACACAAATAGTATCACCTGGAAGGAACAACACCTTTGGTATCGATGTCTACGAAATAAGGCTGCACTTACAAAGTTTGCAAAATAGAACCACAAAAAATTAGCCATTCATATGCAACCATGTGGTGCGCTTGAGTATGGCATTACAAGCTTGCTAAAAACTGTTAGTAAAACTTTCACCAAGACCAAAACGCTAGAACAACAGCAGGATGATGATTTAGGAGGGAAAAGCTCCTGAGATATCTGAATACATACCATTAATAAATGGATGGGTCAGTTTTATTAATCAGTATTTATATTGGACGAGTAAAACTTTCCTTTCGATGATAGAAATATCGTTATCGTAACTTTGTCACAATGATGAAATGTATCTTTTAGATCTCAAGCAGCCCAGTTGCAAACATTCGTGGGCAGTCCCAGGTTGCTTTGCAATGCTTGATTTCAAGTTTTCTTCGGTGGCTTTGCAGCGATTCTCTTCACGCCTTCCTCGGCCCTATCAATTAATTTTTTTTTTCTTCGACTATTCGTGGCAAATTTTGTGGGATTCATCTTCTTTTGTTTGCCAGACCTTTTGTAACAGCTGTCTTGAGCCTCTGTAGTGTTGTAGCTGTCATCTCCAAACATTCCCGAACAGTTTTCAAGTACAATCATGCTCTTGTCTTAAGAGTTCAATCAAATTTTTGTCTGCAAACAAGGTTTCCTGGGTACCATGAAAAGTTCAGGGCCATGCTTTGTCCTAGGCTTACATGACTTCCATGTAGTCTTACGGTCCGCTAAGAAAGACATCGGCCTAAAGTAAGGGCTCATGGCCGTTTTCTAGGGATTTGACCGCTCTAAGAGCCCTATTTCATCTAAGGCTTGCTTCGTTGCAAACACAGAGCGAAGAATGTTGCTTTATGCTTTTCAAAAACATGCCATGATTTTTACCCGCTTTCCTTCTTCCAAGTTATTCAACATCACAACTGTGCCAATATCATATTAGGATATCAATTAACTTATGGTTTCCCTCGCATTCATTACAGTTTACTGGGTAGTCTCAAAGGAGCTAGGTGGAGGAAAGTACATTCAACAAAATAGAACTTCTTCATTAGTAATCGCTGTCAAACTTCTCCATTCTTAACCATCCTTGTTCTTTTTAGGCTCATTCGTGCTTTTATTGTGTTTGTCTACCCTGGATATCAATTAACTTATGGTTTCCCTCGCATTCATTACAGTTTTTCAGGAACAAAACGGCAAAAAAACACACAAAATATTGTGACGTAGCTCAATAAAGCTCAGCACTATGAGCAATTTAATTTTAAAAATCAGCGCCAAGTCCAGTCTCTAAACTTTATTGAACAAGACGAGAGAGTCCATGACACACCGAGATTGTGTTATCAAAATCATTTTGTTGGCTCCGATGTGCGATGCAGCTTATTACCGTCACCAAATTTAGGTTGCTACGAAACTGATCATGAGTGAGACAAAATCTGGGGTAAAGGGTGAACACTCAAAGTCGGTGTTTTGGATTGAGCATAGCTTGATGATCTAGATAATCTGAGGAGGAGAATCTCCAGGCCAGTTGTAATTAATACCAGCCTAGGCATGAGGCTCTCGGAGCCAACATTCTTGCAAGTAAAGAACTGCTCTAGAAATCATTTTGCTCTCTGTTACTTTGTAGTACAATATGTAACTTCATTGCTTATTAAGTACAATATAGACAAACCCGTGGTAGTAGAGGTGATGGAAATTTTGGCAACTATGATTGCGTATCCCTTTAATTCCCCCTGTGAAATATACAAAAACAAAAACAAAAAGAGCACGTGCTTTAAAATCAAAGAGGCCACTGAATCGAGAGCAAAGGAACTGCCAAGTTATTGTGTGGTTCGATTACATAACCTCCTGGTGTATGTGTTTACATACACTAGGAGGAGAAAGGTACTGTCTAGCAAGCTACTCTTAAAAATCGACTCAGAAAAAGGTCAATAAACCCAGTTGCACAACTAATGGGAGCACGTTTGTGCTCTAGTGAGTTTAAAGTAGGCCTCCTCCTGGGTCAAATCTTTATAGAGAGGGGTTACATATTTTTCCAGAAGAAAAGGCAGACCGTTTCACCACGCTGATGGTCAGATGATTCTGGTTGTAAAAAAAGAGGAAAATGTTTTAAATAAGTAGTTTACATACCTTCTCGGCTTTAGTTAGAGCTCTCTCATACACAATGTAGTTTTCTCCTTTCTCAAGTTCTTCATTCACAAATTCCTTAGTTTTATGACCATCGCCAACGGTAAATTTCTGAGGTTTGCTGAGTAATGGGTCTTTTTCTATCTCAGCAACAATGTAAAAATTCACGTTCTCTTTCTTAGCATCACTGGCAGCTTTCAGTTTTGAATCATAATTGTCTGGAAGCTCTCTAACGCCATTAGCGGTTTTCAGAACAATAACCTGATAAGCACTGAAAGGTATAAAACAAAATGCCAGACTAATGAGTAACATCTCGAAAAGAGGCCATTAAGATAGCATTTAGGGGCCACTGACCATTAACATCGAGAATCCGCCCACAGTTTCGTAATTCATTTAATATTTCCTAAAGGACCCTTTTAATGAACCTTTTTCAAGAACTATAAAACATCTAACGCCTCTTAAATTTGATTTCCTAAAGGACACTTTTAATGAACCTTTTTCAAAAATTATTAAATATCTAACGCCTCTTAAGTTTAATTTCTGTCGCACGCACGAATCCAGCCTTCGTGGAGGGAGCGTGACCTCATTTATCGAGAAGCGGCAGGTAATCTTACCTTATATCTTAATGCAGGATCTATTCCACCTCTGGTTCTTTAGAAAATCACGTTCTTATTGATAATTACCTTACTGGACCATATTTTTGTTCAACAGGCCACAGATAAATATCCACAGCTGTCTGAGAAACCTCAACATCGGTTATATTATGTGGATGTGGGGCTTCAGGAGCTGGTAAGGAAAAAAAATAGCTTCTGAACCACAACAACACTCTTGTACTTGTGTGTTTATAAATAGATGTCTTTTTAATTGCAATTAATCATTATTTCTTCATGTAAATTGTTGCACGTCTGTTTGCGCAATGAATTCTTAATAAAGACCTTTTTTATTATTATAACCCTTAATAATAAAAAAGGTCTTTATTAAGAATTGATTGCGCAAACAGACGTGCAACAATTTACATGAAGAAATAATGATTAATTGCAATTAAAAAGACATCTATTTATAAACACAGATTTAAAACGACTTGTCTGGACCTTAGGTAGAATATAATTATGCGACCTACTTCTCAACTGCCGTGTCCTCTGGGGAGGTAAAAGATCCCTCAAGGCAGCGTTCGTGGAAGAGATCCTTCGTCATAATTTCATATCTCTATCATGACGAATATCCAAGATACTATGCCGCTTTAAGCAGTAACCTAACTTATAACACCTGGCACAGAGCTTATCAATACTACTTAAACATTTACTATAAAAAGCACACCCCCAGACCTCAGACTTTTCGGAAGATCAATGTACATGTAACTAAATGTTCTCGTTAAAGCTATTTCTTTAAAGACATTGAGCACTATTGATTATCAACCGCCAGTTTTAATATTATTTTCATTCACCAGCAGAAAAAAAATCAATTTCACCAATTCATTTCGAAAGCACGCGAACATCGAAAACAAGGTCCATTTGTTCAAAGGGTAGATAAAGCTATCCAACGGATAAACCGCTATCGATATCCTACACTAAGAACCACATGATAGCGTTAAACTCCCTTCAAGCAAGCGTGGGCAGATCTATCTAAAACAAAAATTGGAAAAATTTTGATATCATCAGTTTTGATTAAAGTGGAAAGGTAAGAGTGTCATGGGTAAATATCGTTATCGTAACTTTGTCACAATAATGAAATGTATCTTTTAGATCTCAAGCAGCCCAGTTGCAAACATTCGTGGGCAGTCCCAGGTTGCTTTGCAATGCTTGATTTCAAGTTTTCTTCGGTGGCTTTGCAGCGATTCTCTTCACGCCTTCCTCGGCCCTATCAATTAATTTTTTTCTTCGACTATTCATGGCAAATTTTGTGGGATTCATCTTCTTTTGTTTGCCAGACCTTTTGTAATAGCTGTCTTGAGCCTCTGTAGTGTTGTAGCTGTCATCTCCAAACATTCCCGAACAGTTTTCAAGTACAATCATACTCTTGTCTTAAGATTTTACTGTCACCGTTCTAGCAGTTCTCTTAAAGCTTGTATAGGCGGCCATCAAATTTTTGTCTGCAAACGAGGTTTCCTGGGTACCATGAAAAGTTCAGGGCCATGCTTTGTCCTAGGCTTACATGACTTCCATGTAGTCTTACGGTCCGCTAAGAAAGACATCGGCCTAGAGTGAGGGCTCATGGCCGTTTTCCAGGGATTTGACCGCTCTAAGAGCCCTATTTCATCTAAGGCTTGCCTCCGACACATTGTTATTCCCTAGAAATCCCTAGCACTTGTTTTCCATTATTTTAAGCAAAGCAGCCATTAAACTCAGAACTTAAATAAGTATTCTTAATTGGCCATACAGAGAGAATATACTTTTGATCTCATCACAAACCAAATACACAGCTTTCAAAATTTTACTTTCCGTTCCTTTCCATTTTCCTTCAAGTGCATGAGATCTTAAAAGAGGCATAACGTTTGTATAAAGGCAAAGTTTTTTAACTTCTCAATGCCTAAAAACATTTCAGCACAGAATCTGTGGGCAAAACATGTATAACTAACTCTACAAATATAATACTATAAACCACAAAACGCCATTTTGGTTACTGCAAATGTAAAATTAAACAATAACAATAAAGATTAAACATCTTTTTAAAATTCTTACCACATTTCATGGTTCTCACCACCACTACAGGAGAACTCCTTGGTCCATCACCAACTGAAGTAAAGGCCAATACTTCAAATTCATATTCTGTGTAAATATCAAGCCCAGCGACATCTCTACTTAATGCTGTTCCATTGTTCATGGTCAAGGGGGTTGCTGCTCCAGCAGAGCCTCTCTTTTTGTAAAACAATTTGAATCCTATAATTATTCCATTTCTGGAGTCTGCTGGTGGTAACTGCCAGGATGCTGTGATAATTGTAGAAGTAACTGCAGTCGCACTGAAGCTCCTCGGGGCTTGTGATGGAGCTGCAATTAAAAAACTGTAGCACTTAATACCTTACTGGTCTTGTTAGTTGTTACTACCAAACAATGAAGCCTCTGAAAAATTACCTCGCTCCTAACCTGTAACTTTACAACTCAGTTGGTAGCAGCACCCATCTAGTATCTGAGTGAAATGGGTTCAAATCCCATCGATGCCTCAATCAGTATCAAGCTTCTTTGCTGCAATTGCTTGAAATTACAGCTTTCCTGGGAGGATCATTTCTTTCCTTGATTTTATTCGCAGTTCTTATCAATTTATTTATAAAAGTCGTGTTAATCTTTTCTCTTCCACTTTCACTTATCACATACCATCTTCTTTTGTTCTCTCCACCTCAACAGCGCTCTTTGGTCCATCACCATCAGAGGTGAAGGCCAACATTTGAAATTCGTACTCTGTGTACTTATCAAGCCAGGTGACATTTCTACTTAATGTCGATCCACTGCTTATAGTCAGGGTTGTTGCTGACCCCACAGAACCTTTCTTTCTGTAGAACAGTTTAAACCCTGTAATGTTTCTTCCATGTCTGGCAAAGACTGGTGGCAACTGCCAGGAAGCTGTGATGCTGGTAGAAGAGCTTGCAGTTAACTTGAAGGCTGCCGGAGGTTGTGATGGAACTAAAATAAAGAACACCAGTTGCTTGTTGTAATTTTTGGTTAATTTAGTGATATGAATGTAAATTAATCACCCTCATGACCTTACAGAACCTTAGATATTCCTCAGATCAAAGTGAAGGATCATGGGGCTATGTTTATGCATTAAATATACCTTATTTGTATCCCGAGTGTGAAGATGTGTCATAAAAAGAGAGAAATGATTCTGTTGCAATGGAAACCCACTGGGCTCCAGAATCTACAATGTACAATGCTACAATCACATCAGACACTGTTTCATATCAAGCACGAATAATAATCTAAGCAAAACTTTGTTTTTAATTTAGCAGAGAGAGAAGAGTGGATTCAAAGTTTAAAAAAACCTAAAATTGATTGATTTTCAAATTCCCTCATCTCTCATGGTCAGCTATAAAGTTATTTTTTAAGTCTGGTGAGAGTGACGTTAAAAACTGATCTCAAATGCTGTCCAATGTACAATACAATAATTAATGGAGGGATTATGTAATAGTAAACATCCATCTGGCTTGCTGGTATGTCGGCTAATAATGTCCTTGGCTGAGGGTTTCTACTCACAATTTCTCATTTGCCTTCCAAGCTTCGCTAATTTGCCAAATATTCATTTTTCGGACCACATCTCAGCTACAGACATACCAACCGCCTGAAGAGGTTTATTCACTAAATAACTTGACACAGGGAAACAGGGTTTTTAACCCTTCCTTTGTTGAGAGAGAAGTTGACTTTTTAAGTAAATATACAGTTTCTGAGGTGCAGGGCAGGAATGTACAGGCTGATCGAAATGCAACGGCAGAGTTAACTGGAATTAGCATAATCCATGCGTACAGTTCCTTGATGAAAGAAAAAATGGCAAACATTCGATTGAAAACATTAGACTATTAAACATTAAACTATCTCCGTCTTAGAATAGTGCAAGGTTAAACTGAAATCGTTCCATTAAACTGTACGCCTAAAATCACCGAGTACATAGTATAAGTAGCATAATTTCCTTAAGTGGTTTATTTTGACACTGATAAAAAGTTTACAAAATATACATAATGGTTTCGGACTCTCTGTCTATTTGCTGAATGATGTAAAGTTTAAAGATTATATTTGAAACTATCTCTGTCTTAGAAAAATAAACTGAAATCGTTCCATTAAACTGTATACCTAAAATAACCGAGCACATAGTATAGGTAGCATAATTTCTTAGGGTTTAAGGCTTGACCGGCCTTCTGTAACAGAAAGGTCATCCGACAGAACGTGTCTGTTTCCTCGCCACTCGAGCTCGTATTTTCATAATTTGTAGCATCATCGCTAATACATGTAAATCTGTGGCTTTCAATCAGCTTATTTCTAGATGATGCATTTAGTTCTTTGCAGTATTATTATAGTTGTCACGGAAGTGTGTGTTGTTTTGTTTGTCAGCTTGGATTTCACCCTTTGATGCTTTGGATGTGGCAGTGGTACTTAAATCATTGGGATTTTTACAATTTTCAAGTACGATCTAGTTGATGTTATCTTACAAAGAAAACATTTTTTTTTTCAGCTGAGGTATGCAAGTTTGAGGTTTTTGTAATCCATTACTTTTTTTGCAACGTTCAACCCAAACTATATCTACAGTATTTCAAAGTACCGTATTTCCTTAACGAAAGGCCCGGGTGCTTATTTAAAATTTTAACGGCTTACAGCAAGTTGCGAAAAGGCTTACTGTAATTTGCGAAATGAAACAAAACGAAAATCTGTAACTTGCAAAATGGAAATATGCTAATGATTTGCAAAATATAAATTCCTATTTTGCAAATTATAAGCATATTTCCGTTTCGCAAATTACAGATTTCTAGAAATCTGTAATTTGCTAAATGGAAATATGCTAATGCTTTGCAAAATCTGCGTGGTGAACTTTGCGAATCTCCACTACCTTCGTGAATAACTCAATGCTTCGTTTAGGCCATAGAGTGCAAAAGTGAAATGTTAGTTGATGCTGTAGCTGTACCGTCTATAAAGTGTAATCAATGAACGTTGTCGACACAACACCTACGTGACCGGAAATGCACATAGAAAGTGTCGCAGCATGTTTCTAGATGAGATATCATATTTGCTGAGAAAATGTAACTGACCCAAGCTATTTCATTTTCTTGAGTCTCAGAAAAATTTTTTCTTAAATTATAGATTTCTATTTAGCAAATCATTAGCATATTTCCATTTCGCAAATTGCAGATTTTCATTTCGTTTCGTTTCGTTTAATTCCGTTTCGTTTCGTTTCATTTCGTTTCGCAAATTATAGTAAGCCATTTTAACGGAACTCTGCAAGCAAATAAATATAGACATAATTGAAACGGAAAAGACCCTATTCTCCTGTACTAGTTCCGCGTTGGTTGAAGCCTAAAATAATATAGATAAAGTGGCAATAGAAACATGATTTCCTTGTATCCCTATTATTCATTTAAGAAAGTGAGGTAAGGGGTCGCTTATTCGGGAGAGGATGATTATTAGAGCGTGAGCGCTTACTCGAAGAAATACAATAATTGTAAATTGGTATTTTGCGAAGCCGGTCAGTCAATGCAGTGGTAGCTATTCGCTTTCTGTCTGACACTCTATGTTTTATCGCCACAGACGCATTTCGTTAACTACATGGAAACTAGGCGAGAGGCAGCCATGAGCGTGACTCGCGGGGGCAGAAACAAATGGCCTCGCGCGCGTGTAAATCACGCACCTTGCTCGCTTGAGAAACGCAAATAAATAATGATTGATTCACCGCGATTTCAGTTTCAAATTGAGTTTGCTCTCCTAGAGTTAGTATGTAAGCATAATGTATTGATTTTTGTCCGCGAGATTAGAAAACACATGTTTCTGAGGCAGACATGGAATCAATGAATGCTTAAAGCATGCTTAGAAGTTTAGTTAACGACAATCGTAATCAATATTTTTGACGACAAAAGCACAGTTAATGACTTGTATTATTATTACATTTAAACTTACTCTCGGTATGATTCTCTACCAGGTTGTTCCCTTAGCTTCAAAACCCAAGTTTGTCAAGGATGAGAATTAATATTTTGTCAGAAAGATACACGGCGTCCTTTTGCCCCAGGGACTGTTTGGACTGAATGTTCAAATGTTGCTTGAACGTACATTAGCATTTAGTAAATGAAGCGAACAAATCCAAATTTGTTCCATTGTTTGGTCACATTCCCAAACATGCTTTGGAAAGGATTGTTTTGAAAGAGAGCTTGGCATCTATCTAAAGATTTATAAACAATACTTTATTCTACAACCGCGACGTAACCCGAAGCAGCTCTCTAATCTTTTTGGTATTGATGCTGTCGGCATTCGCGATTAAGTGGCGGAATTCGAAAAATTGAAAGATGTAACTCACCAATTCCGTTAGATGTAGTATTCAAATGAAAATAAACCTTTTGAGTAGATTTGATATGATATGGTGCTCACCTGAAACCAGAGGAAGAAATACAGCGAGAACAACTACACGGATACAAAGCTCGAGATTAAACTGCGCCATGTTTCGATTGAGTGTGTCACGGTATGCGGTCACGCAAGATGTCTTTGTTTTTTCACTATCCTGGTAAAGGGTCAAGGGCCCTCTTCACACAAACACGCTTACTCAGAATTCAATTTAACTACTCTTTAATTCGCACGTGAAGAAGAAGTTAATTCCTAAGGAACAGAAAAAGGACTTTCGCAAAAAAGTACTAATATGCAAGACGGAAAAAATAAATGCGAAGATACCACGAGACAAAAAAGTTACCAAATGCTGAAGGAATACACAAGACACGAAACACTCGTAGGAAAAGGGTTTACATGGACGCAAAATAAGACACACTGCTAAAAGGGGCGTGAAACATGATATACAAAGGGGGCCTAATTTGCATAGAGTGTGAAAATAATGGTGTCAAGATGATACGTGGAAAAACCAATAAAATACGTGTAAATTAACGGGTGTGGAAATATAAGACCCATTTGTGAGAAATCAAAAAAATAAGAACACATTCGCCACAACACTAAGCTTGTCTTTGTATAATTTGTAGGAATATCGTCATTACATGTCAAGATGTAGTTTTCAATCGGTTTATGTTAATTTTTTAATGATGATACATTTAGTTCTTTACAGTATTTATAGTTATTACAGAGGCGTGTGAGTCGGTTTTTTTCGTCAGTTTGAATTTCACCCTTTGATGATGCTATGGATGTAGCAGTAATAATTCAATCATTGGGTTTTGTAGAATTCCCAAGCACGTTTTGTAACATAACCAATGTAAAGCTCGCGCTCTGATTGGCCAATTCAGTGTCTACTACTTTTCCGTGAGAGGTCACTGTGACTTGAAGAATGCAACGACTAATTAGCGCGCGCTCGTTTTAACCACACGAACATTTTTTGTTCAATAAAAGAGAACTCTTTCGCTACAATATGTCAATGTATGCGTTATTGACGAAGCTGGATACTGGATATGGGCCGAGTTCCTTTTTTTTCTTTTACATTTTTATGGACCGAAATAATACTGTTATTTACTGGAGCTTGAGTCAGAATGTACGCATTACGTTTTCTGTAATCCTGATAGAAAAAGATCGAAAGAAAATATGGACGTCAAGTAAAGTAACGCGAGTATACCAATACGAAAAGAATAACGACATCGCATCCCAAGAAGGAAGATGGAAATGAATATCTGCTTAGAGAATAAACAAATTCAAAACTTACTACACGCATTCTTTGCTACGAAAGCTTCCTAAACCTGACAGTACTGAATCTTTTCTGATCAACTCGTTGGAATCACAGAGTATGTTATAAGAGACATGTTTTCGTGAAAACTTCTTATTCCATCATCTACAACTATTCTGTTGCTTATTAACAGTTGAAAATGTACTTATAAGTTATTGCATTATAAAAATATTTCCAAGCATTTTTTTCAATTTGTAAATAGGCTATGGCTTTGAAATGTCTTCAAGAGACTGGAGTGTAAATTTTCTCTTCAGATATCTACAAATACCTAACAGTAATATTCGTTTAGCTAGCAGTTTTCGATTTCTTCAGAGTACAAACCAATAAATTTGCTTAACGGTTACGAATCTAATATGTATAAAAACATAAGAAAAGACTCAAAAAGTATAATCCTTCTTAAAAGGTAAAATACAAAGAACAACTTCCATTACATTGTTACGCTTCGATCTCTTTTTACATCTAATGGCTCTTAAACGAGTTTGCAAATTCACTCTTTTAACTTTAATTCAGGTTCAGAACTCACTTAAACTCGAATTAAAATTTTCATGCCACTACTAGGATATGCAATTGTAGATTAAATCCCACTTGAAAACATGGATTCCTTTAGCAAAGTAAGTGTCGTGTGTGATCGTCTTCTAAGAGATTTCGTTTAGCTTGGGAACCTCGCTCAAAGTTATAATTTCATTTACCTCTCATTCGTGGCTATAACTAAATGTTTAGTTCTGGCTATACGCGATATATTGTTAGAAGAAATTTCTAGCATTCTTGTGCAGTTGAAACTTTCTTTATTGCTTCTCTTAACAGCTCAAATAACTTGCTAGCTTAGGGTATGACGCATCATTTACAAGAAAGTGTTGGTTTCCAGTTTATAAAGGTGGCAATTAGTAAGTTGTCAATATTTAACCACCGTCACTGTTTCCCACTTCACTAGCGAGTCACGTCGACTTACGTAGTTAGTATGTACCTTAGGTTTGTTTTCTCTTACCAAAATTAATTTCTACCTAAAATTTCAAACTTTTGCGGTTAAGATCTGCCAAAACAGAAACAAGATTGATAATATAAAAATTATAAAGAAACTGTTGCGTAGAGTAGAATTTCAATTTTAAAAATACTAAAGAAAAAACAACCCTTGAAGTTTGTTACATAACAACAGAATACACCGAGGATTCAAGGAAGAAAGCCCTACCCTAAGTACCGCCCCTCTGAGTGCACTGTTTGCTAACAGATAACAATTACTCCACTTACAAAGTAAAACCGTCATTGAAATAGTAAACTATCAACTGCTTACAATATGTTTTTTAGTTGAATGGTTTATCCTAATTAGTTATTTCCATTCATATTCCCAACACCAAAGTAACAAAACTCTTATAATGTTTCCAAATAAGATGTGTAGTAATGAAGCTCTTATAATGCTTCTAAATAAGATGTGTAGTAATGAAGCTCTTATAATGCTTCTAAACAAGATGTGTAGTAATGAAACTCTTATAATGCTTCTAAACAAGATGTGTAGTAATGAAGTTCTTATAATGCTTCTAAATAAGATGTGTAGTAATGAAACTCTTATAATGCTTCTAAACAAGATGTGTAGTAATGAAGTTCTTATAATGCTTCTAAATAAGATGTGTAGTAATGAAGCTCTTATAATGCTTCTAAACAAGATGTGTAGTAATGAAGCTCTTATAATGCTTCTAAATAAGATGTGTAGTAATGAAGCTCTTATAATGCTTCTAAATAAGATGTGTAGTAATGAAGCTCTTATAATGCTTCTAAATAAGATGTGTAGTAATGAAGCACTCATAATGCTTCTAAATAAGATGTGTAGTAATAAAGCTCTTGTACTGCTTCTAAATAAGATATGCAGTAATGAAGCTCTAATAATGCTTCTAAATAAGATGTGTAGTAATGAAGCTCTTGTAATGCTTCTAAATAAGATGTGTAGTAATGAAGCTCTTGTAATGCTTCTAAATAAGATGTGTAGTAATGAAGCTCTTGTAATGCTTCTAAATAAGATGTGTAGTAATGAAGCTCTTATAATGCTTCTAAATAAGATGTCTAGTAATGAAGCTCTATAATGCTTCTAAATAAGATGTGTAGTAATGAAGCTCTCATAATGCTTCTAAACAAGATCTGTAGTAATAAAGCTCTCATAATGCTTCTAAACAAGATGTGTAGTAATGAAGTTCTTATAATGCTTCTAAATAAGATGTGTAGTAGTGAAACCCTTATAATGCTTCTAAACAAGATGTGTAGTAATGAAGCTCTTATAATGCTTCTAAATACGATGTGTAGTAATGAAGCTCTTATAATGCTTCTAAATAAGATGTTTAGTAATGAAGTTCTTATAATGCTTCTAAATACGATGTGTAGTAATGAAGCTCTTATAATGCTTCTAAATAAGATGTGTAGTAATGAAGCTCTTATAATGCTTCTAAATAAGATGTGTAGTAATGAAGTTCTTATAATGCTTCTAAACAAGATGTGTAGTAATGAAGCTCTTATAATGCTTCTAACCAAGATGTGTAGTAATGAAGCTCTTTTAATGCTTCTAAATACGATGTGTAGTAATGAAGCTCTCATAATGCTTCTAAATAAGATGTGTAGTAATGAAGCTCTTATAATGCTTCTAAACAAGATGTGTAGTAATGAAGCTCTTATAATGCTTCTAAACAAGATGTGTAGTAGTGAAACTCTTATAATGCTTCTTAATAAGATGTGTAGTAGTGAAACTCTTATAATGCTTCTAAACAAGATGTGTAGTAATGAAGTTCTTATAATGTTTCTAAACAAGATGTGTAGTAATGAAGCTCTTATAATGCTTCTAAACAAGATGTGTAGTAATGAAGCTCTTAAAATGCTTTTAAATAAGATGTGTAGTAATGAAGCTCTTATAATGCTTCTTAATAAGATGTGTAGTAATCTTTCATGGTCCTCACCACTACAGGTGAGGTCTTTGGTCCATTACCAACTGAAGTAAAGGCCAACACTTCAAATTCATATTCCGTGTTGTTTTCAAGCCCAGTGACATCTTTACTTAATGCTGTTCCATTGTTAATGGTCAGGGTGCTTGCTCGTCCAACGGAGCCACTCTTTTGGTAGAACAATTTGAATCCTATGATTATTCCATTTCTGGAGTCTGCTGGTGGTAACTGCCAAGATGCTGTGATCATTGTAGAAGTAACTGCAGTCACTCTGAAGCTGCTTGGGGCTTGTGATGGAGCTGCAATTGAAAAACTTTAGCACTTAATGCCATACTGGTCTTGTTAATTGTTACTACCAAACAATGAAGTCTCTGAAAAATTACCTCGCTCCTAACCTGAGGCTTTACAGCTCAGTTGGTAGCAGCACCCATCTAGTATCTGAGTGAAATGGGTTCAAATCCCATCGATACTGAATCAGTATCAAGCTTCGTGGCTACAATTGCTTGAAATTACAGCCTACCTGGAAGGATCATTTCTTTGCTTGATTTTATCCACAGTTCTAATTAACTTATTAATAAAAATTGTGATAACCTTTTCTCTTTCACCTTCACTTATCACATACCATCTTCCATTGTTCTCTCCACTTCAAGTGAACTCTTTGGTCCATCACCATCAGAAGTGAAGGCCAACACTTGAAATTCATACTCTGTGTATTTATCAAGCCCGGTGACATTTCTTCTTAATGTTGATCCACTGCTTATAGTCAAGGTTGTTGCTGACACATAACCTTGGTTTCTGTAGAACAGTTTAAACCCTGTAATGGTTCTGCCATGTCTGGCAAAGACAGGTGGCAACTGCCAGGAAGCTGTGATGCTGGTAGAAGAGCTTGCAGTCAACTTGAAGGCAGCAGGAGGTTGGGATGGAACTGAAATAAACATCACCAGTTCTTTGCTGTAATTCTTAGTTGATTTAGTGATATAAATGTAAATTAATTATCCTCGAGACCCTAGGGAGGCTTACATATTCCTCATATCAAAGTAAAGGATCATTGATCATGGGTAGCGACTCTGTATATGCATTAAATATACATTATTTATATCGAGTGTGAAGATGTGTCATACAAAATAGGAGAGAAATGATTCTGTGTCAATGGCAACCCACAGGGCTCCAGAATCTACAATGTATAGTGCTACAATCACATTAGACACTGTTTCATAACAAGCACGAATAATAAGCTAAGCAAAACTCTTTTAATTTAGAAAAGAAGAACCTGAACGATCTGAGCAGAGTGGAATCGAAGTTTAAAAAAAAATTATGCATTTTCAAATTCTCTATCTCTCATGGTCAGCTCTAAAGTTATTTGAATAAAAATTATCTCCTTAGCAATTGCAAGGCTCTATCAATATTGGAGTAATTATACCTCACCGTTGGCTAGCTCTGCATAATTACCTAACCTTGCCTTCCACAAATAGTTTGCAAATGTGACTTCATTTTTGTCTCACGGGGGAGATAAAACAAGAGCAAATAAATACCTTTTGTTAGAAGTATTCCATAAACTTCCACTCTCAGCGCCTTCCATCCGTAATATGTTGTTGGTTGAAAGCGGATGTACTTTGCACTTGCAAATTCCTGTAGACTGTTTTTTACAATGCCATTTTGGTTTGAATTTCCGGGAAAGACCTGGAGTTTTTGGTAAAAAATTTGAAATCATTATGTCAAAATGTTCTTAATACTATTACTTCACAGCCCGCTCTTAAATATCAGCTATCTACATATCTCTAATGGCTAAGGAAAGACGTAGTTTCTTTTGTTTCAAAATTAACACAAAACCATTATGTGACCCTGTGTATCATTTCTGGTGAATAACCTAAGGGAGAGGTACATGTAGTTTGTGAGAGATTGTAATACAACATCCACTGGTTGAACAAACACCAAAAAATAAGACTTTTCGAAAGCACTTTCACACAATGTTTTTTTTTTCGTATCGATTACATCCTCTTTGAACAATAAGACTGAGTCTTGACCAAGTAGACGCTTCTTTGCTCTCCCTTCCCTTGACTCAAAAATTGAATCAGTGTTATATGGACATGAATATTCACAAGATTTTTATATAAACTTACCCTTTCAACATTGTTTTCTTGGTAGGTGACCATAGTGGTACCATCCGTTGATAAGCGCATCTTATACTTTGTTGTCCACTCATTAATACCATTAGCTCCTTGAGTAGCAACACCACAGATAACATACTCATACAAAAGGTCAATTTGGAGGTAGTCGGAAGGATCATAATTCGTCGTGGGTGCCCAACTCAGGCTATTTCCATTCAGTCGACCATTAGAGGGTATATACCCAGCACTATAATACGATGAGGCAGAGAAGCTGCTGTCTGGAATTGTGCCCTTGCTAGCCAGACCAATGGCCTCCATTTCACAAGCTGCAAAGTAACGATTTAAAATCATCTTTCATACCGCAATTGACATGGTAATCTTATTAGGTCTGCGGTCTTACGCATGCGCCGTGGAACGCGTAAGCATATGGCATGTAGATTTCTGAGTTGTTTTCGTTCCTTGTACAAATGAATTAGAAGTAATGACCACGATGAGGCTCCATGTACCCTTACACAGATCAAATTCAATTTTACCCGATACTTTAAAGCCAAATTTTTGCATTATCTATTACTCAAAAATTACAACTGATCTACCAACTGGAAATAATCAGATTTTTTTCAAATTTCATACTTGCATTTTGAGTCCCAGCGACAAATTCAAATTTAAGCCTTCCCTATCAGCTATCCTCCTTTGACGTAAATTTAGTTATCTAAGTAAGTATTGACCATGAATTCAGCATTCAACTTTAGATTAACTGGGTATTAGGAGTGGTTTGGTGTCTTTGATTTCAAAAATTCTACTCACTTGTCTGAATAACAAACATACATCAACAAAATAACAGAGTAGGTTTGAAAAACCTTGTTTAGAGATTTTAAGAAAATATTTATGACTACACTGAAGTTCACTAATAGTACTAATGCTACCAACACCGTGATGATGGCAAAGACACATTCAAGTTTCACACTTACTAGGCTTTTTTTCCACTCCAAACACCTCTATCCTCATACACACCCTACCCTGGTGTGTTCGTGGCAGGAATCGCAGATATCTGAGTAATACTCCATACACAAAATGCTTCACTTCTGACTCTCTGTCAGCATTTCCCCTCAGAAACTGGAAAAAAACAAATATTCGCAACTCACCATTGGATTCTAATTTTGCGACTTGAGGAAATAGCAGGATAAAAAATATCACGAAGTGTAATTAGCAGTCTTAACGATAATTGATAAGATCGAAAATTCTAATTTTGAACAAGACTTCCATCTCTGTGGGATATTCTACACCGTCACGCTTCATAGTTTATGTTACAGTCGTAAATTTTTATTCTAATTTTTTTTGAGAAGTTGTCTCACATTTTATTCCTATATACCTTAACTTGTCCACCTTCCTTATAGTCTGTCCAGGTTGTCCCTTCAGTGGATAATTGTAGCGTGTAGTTCTTCACCCACTGATCTGCTTGAGAATTCCCCTGAGTGGACACAGCACAGATGATATGAAGTGTCTGTAGATCAACCTGTAGATATGGGCTAGTGTCACTTGTTCCTGCACACCATGATGATCCTGATGCGTAGTTCAGTCGACCATTCTTGCCTGGTGTGCTGGCACTTTCTTCAGAAGAAGCAATTATATTACTATCTGGGATTGTTCCACTTTCCATTCCAAGGTCAAAATCAACACAGGCCCCTAAAGAAACAAAATTTACATTTGCACGTATCATAACATATTCATAATAAGAATTGTATAAGGGATAATGGATTGGATGTAAAAAGGACATGGATGTCTCGAATCTCTCCTTTTGGTACCTCCAGTTAAAGGTCTGTGTCTTAGATAATTAAAAACTATTCACCGAAGTTTTGGTGACTAGTGATTGATAGTTACTAAGCCAGAAAGAGGCAAGGTAACTATCATTCGCTTGCCACCGACACTTCTGTAAATAGTTATTTAAGTATAATATAACACAAAAAGATGATCATAAGTCATTAATTCTGCAACAATAGCAATATTTTCGGGCTTGAGTTGCTCGGCCAATCAGGGCGCACCTTCAACGCTTCCACTGTTTTAGTATATGCTAATAGCAATAGGGCTTCTTTGGTTTTTGTAGTGATTAATGTTAGACAATGGCGTGATATACCTTGCGTCATGTAGCCAAGCATGCTGGGAATAAAGTAATTTTTACAAATAATTCCAATATGACCAGTGTGCTGACTTTGTGTCGTCTTCTGTGATATACACCGTCGTTCAAACATTACATTGGGGACGAGGATCGGCAAAAAATCACTCCTCGATACTCATAGCCATATGTGTGACCGTGTGACTAATCTTTGTGATGGCTGAAGCGATTCCAACCTTCGAAAACCTATCTGTTACCACTGCTATTAGTGATAAGAAGATACAGAGAGCTCTTTTACCGTACCACACCGGGGAGGAAGTGTCTGACCTCTTTGACACTCCACCCGACACCGGTGAAGATTTTGCAACGGCCAAAACGAAGCTGGACGCGTACTTTGACCCGAAGAAGAATGTGGAATTTGAGATTTTCACGTTTCAGCGGGCGAAGCAAAACCCAGGTGAAACCGCGAACGCGTGTCACCTGAAGCTAATGAAGAAGTGGAACGCTTTATGAGGACCTTTGGAAAGGTACTACGCACCACCATTCGCTGGAAGCAAGATATGTGTCGGTTCTTACGCAACTATCGTGTTACTCCCCATTGTACTACGGGTGTTGCCCCTGCTACAGCCCCATTTTGGCAGACCAATAAGAATCAAGTTACTCAACCCCGTTGTTGTGCCAAGAGGTGAAAGTCTTGATCCTGCAGCCATGCGCCAAAGAGATGCCCAGCAGAAACTCAGGATCAAGAGCCAAGCTGATTTTAGCCATCAAAGATTGCGACGTTTAGGTTGGAGACACAGTCCTGATCAGACAACCAAAGCGAGAAAAGCTGTCGACGTCACCTGACCCCATTGACCGTCAATAAGAAGCATCACAGCATGCTAACAGCAGAAAGGGCCAACCGAAAAGTGACACGTAATTCATCGCACTTCAAGAAGCTTCTGGCTGATAACTCAATCATACTCAGAACCAGTCACGCATTTGAGGGGGACACTCTTGACCAGGACACCGAGAGCAGTCCTCCTTCCTGCATTCCAGTCTCAGTTCAGGGGTCCACAGGCTCACCATTGGACCCCAGTGGAAGTGTTGAGATCCTGAACCTGTGCGTTGAAGGTCTCCACGTTGTCTGTGCCCCAAAAGATTTATCCAAGAGATTTGATTAATGATGATTCACTGATTTAAAGTGATTTTGAACATCTATCTGATGAATATTCTTTTGACTGATTTCAAAGTGACTCAAGTATTGGTTTATGGACACCGTTTGAGAATTGTGAACTTTGGGCTTGTAAGAACATTTAGTGGTTGAGTATTCAGTGATTAAGGACTTTGAGTAGGATTCTGTATCCCCATGTTTAAGTTTATTTTTCCTAGTCTAGTTCTGTCGCATAGCACCTGTTACTGTTACTTATTTCACAATATTTATTCCTTCGATCATGTGATTCTTCTTAACTGCAGGAAAAACGAAATGTAGTATTTAGCGTTACACAGTGCCGTGACAAGTCTTGCGTCGTGTAGCCAACCATGCTGGGAATAAAGTAATTTTTACATGTGATTCCCATATGACCAGTGTGCTGACTTTGAGTCGTCTTCTATGATATACATCTTCGTTCAAACATTACAGTTTTAACCTTATTTATCAATTCTATAACAAATCAGGAAGAAATCTCGATCCTTAAAATAACCAAATCTGCGGCCTGGGGTGTCATTTCTGAAGGGGCCAACTCTAGTGAAATTAAGGAAAGATTTGAGTTTCTGGAAAAACTGTTATGGTGCAGCGGAGGAAGCATGCTGTTAATAAAGGTTGCAATAGCCCATCCATTGATTTTGCCTGATATTATTGGCTTCTTTAGGTCATGTGGTGCAAAATTACAAGCCTGCTAAAAACTGCTTGTATAACTTTTACCAAAACCAAAAAGCTGGTAACAACCGCAGGATAATGATTTAGGAGGGGTAAATTCCTGAGACATCTGAATGCAGGCAAGGAATAGATGGATGGGTCAGTTTTGTGAATCAGTTCTTACATTTGACGAGTAGAAATGCAAGTTTTGTTATTGTAATCAGTTCTTTCACTGGACGAATAGAATTCCCTTTCGAATGATGAAAGTTTTGTTATTGTAACTTTGTTACAATAACTCAGTGTATCTTTTAGATCCCCAGCAGTTTAATTGCAAACATTTGTTGGCAGTCCCAGGTTACTTTGCAATGCTTGGTTTCAAGTTTTTTTTGGGTAGCTTTGTAGCAATTCTCATCACGCCTTCCTCGGCCCAATCAATTCAGTTTTTTTCTTTCAACAATTCACGAACACTTTTAAGACATTCATCTTCTTTTGTTCATCAGACCTTCTGTAATGGTTGTCTTGATGCATTACGGTCTGCCTTAAATTAGTATTCATGCATCTGTAGTGTTGTAGCTGTCATCTCCAAACGTTCCCAAACAATTTTCAAATAAAACTATGCACTTGTCTTCAAGAGTTTACAGAAACTGTTATAGCAGTTGTCTTAACGTTTGTATAGGCAGTCATCAAATTTTTGTCTTCAAACAAGGGTGCCTTGGTACCATGAAAAGTTCCTTCCTCCAGGCACGGGGGTGAACTTCTCTCAGACATACGTGTAGTCTAATGGTCAGCTAAAACATTTCAGCTTTTGAATCTGATGGCCATCGATTTTTAACCATACTACGAAACCCAGAATGCTATGAACGGCAAATGAACCTCCTCAGTTATTGTAAATGTAAGACTGGGCAGGTTTAAATCTCATTCAACAATCTCAAAAGTAGAGTTAATTTTGCTGTTGCTACACAAAATCACTTAAAAATGTGTTATACATCTTTTGAGAACTCTTACCATCTTTCAGGGTCCTCACCACTACAGGGGAAGTCTTTGGTCCATCACCAACTAAAGTAAAAGCCAACACTTCAAATTCATATTCCGTGTTGTTTTCAAGCCCAGTGACATCTTTACTTAATGCTGTTCCATTGTTAATGGTCAGGGTGCTTGCTCGCCCAACGGAGCCACTCTTTTTGTAGAATAATTTGAACCCTACGATTACTCCATTTCTGGAGTCTGCTGGTGGTAACTGCCAGGATGCTGTGATCATTGTAGAAGTAACTGCAGTCGCACTGAAGCTCCTCGGGGCTTGTGATGGAGCTGCAATTAAAAAACTGTAGCGCTTAATGCCATACTAGTCTTGTTAATAGTTACTACCAAAAATATATTTGTATTTTTTACAAACAATGAGGTCTCTGAGAAGTTACCACGCTCCTAACCTGTGGCTTTACAGCTCAGTTGGTAGCAGCACCCATCTAGTATCTGGGGAACATGGGTTCAAATCCCATTGGTGCCTGAATAAGTATCAAACGTCTTTGCTGCGATTGCTTGAAATTACAACCTAACTGGGAGGATCATTTCTTTGCTTTTTTTATCGCAGTTTTAATTAATTTTTGAATAACAATTGTCATAATCTTTTCTCTTTCACCTTTACTCATCACATACCATCTTCCATTGTTCTCTGCACCTCAACAGGGCTCTTTGGTCCATCACCATCAGAAGTGAAGGCCAACACTTGAAATTCGTATTCTGTGTACTTATCAAGCCCGGTGACATTTCTACTTAATGTTGATCCACTGCTTATAGTCAAGGTTGTTGCTGATCCGACAGAACCTTTCTTTCTGTAGAACAGTTTAAATCCAGTAATGTTTCTTCCATGTCCAGCAGAGACTAGTGGCAACTGCCTGGACGCTATGATACTGGTAGAAGAGCTTGCAGTTAACTTGAAGGCAGTAGGAGGTTGGGATGGAACTGAAATAAACATCACTAGTTGTTTGGCATAATTCTCGGTTGATTTAGTGATATGAATGTAAATTAATCATCCTCATGACCTTAGAGAGCCTTACATATTCCTCAGATCAAAGTGTAGGATCATCGATCATGAGTAATGACTGTGTGTATGCATTAAACAAACATTATTTATATCCTGAGTGTGAGGATGTACTCAACGAAATAGGAGAGAAATTATTCTGTTGCAATGGCAACCCACAGTGCTCCAGAATTTACAATGTACAATGTTACAATCACATCAGGCACTGGTTCATAAAAACCACAAATAATAAGCTGAGAAAAACTTTTTTAATTTAGCAAAAGAAGAACTAAATGAACAGAAGAGAGTGGATTCAAAGTTTAAAAAAAGAACTAAATTAATGATTTTCAAATTCTCTCATCTCATATGGTCAGCTCTAATGTCATTTCCACAAAATTCTCACCTGACCAATGGCAAAGCTATATCCATATTGGAGATTTTATAACTCGCCGTTAGCCAGCTCTGCTCACAAGCTAGAGCAAATAAATACCTTTTGTTAGAAGTACTCCATAAACTTCCACTCTCAGTGCCTTCCATCCGTAATATGTTGTTGGTTGAAAGCGGATATACTTTGCACTTGCAAATTCCTGTAAACGGTTTTTTACGATGCCATTTTGATTTGAGTTTCCGGGAAAGACCTATAGTTTGTGGTAAAAAATTTGAAATCATTATCTCAAACTGTCCTTAGTACTACTGCTTAACAGACCGCTCTTAAGTATCAGCTATTTACATGTCACTAAGTGCTATGGAAAAGCTTAGTTTCTGTTGTTTCAAAACTAACACTAAACCGGTATATCATTTCTGGTCAATAACCTAAGGGAGAGGTACTTATAGTTTTGTGAGAAATTATAATACAACAACTGTAACTGGTTTTTGGCAGTTACCGAGAAAGGTTTTTGTATAGCCATTTGCCTTTAGGACATCAGAAACATATTTCCTCTCCTCAGCCTTCGAATCGAGTGAAGATGGTAGACAGTCAGCCCTCCTAAGTAAAGTTTTGGCTACAGACTTTTTATGGCAAATAGGGCGGTGAGAATCGAGAATACAAAAACCTTTCTCCGTAACTGCCAAAACCCAGTTACAACTAGTAACCCTCTTGATGAAAGGGAATCAGCGACTGGTTTTGCTGCTATTCCTTACATTCAGGGTGTTACGGAACCCACAAGAGAATTTTGAATAGCCACAACGTTAAAGTTGCTCAAAAACCTTTTCGGACTTTGGGGCATATTTCGCCAAACCTAAGGATCCTGTCACGAAAGAACAACGAGCCGACGCCATTTATTCTATTCCTTGCGATGACTGTGATAACGAATACATCGGACAGACCAAACGTCAGTTTGGTACACGTTTAAAAGAGCATCAACAAGCGTTTTTCTTTTGGAAAAAGGAAATTCGGCTTTATCGGAGCACACATGCCTAACTAGCCATACAATTGGGTGGGTTAATTCTAAAATTATCACCACTAATCGGCGTTACCACCAGCGCCTTTGTTTGGAGGCTTGGCATATTAACTCCGCCCACGCTCCTTTAAATCGTGACGATGGCGGTTTGCTTCCTGACGCCTATTTACACCTCGTCAGAAAAAAGGGCGCTAATTAGTGGTCATATAAAAGGACCTCTTGTTGCAACGTTTAGATCACCCCAGGTGAAGGGTCTATGAATTGTAACTTCTTCGCTTACATTCATTAAATCTACAAACCAGAGTAGCATCAAACCATGTCTGATTTTCCACCTGGTTGCCGTGTGAACTTTAATATATTTTAACACAAAACCAGTATGTGATTCTGTATATCACTTGTGGTCAATAACCCAAAGGAAGAGGTACATCTAGTTTTTGAGAGATTATGATACAACAACCACTTGTTAGACAAGCACCGAAAAAAAAGACATTTTCGAAAGCACGTTCACACAATGTTTTTATTCTCTTTGATATCGATTACATTCTCTCTAAAACAACAAGACTGAGTCTTGACCAAGTAAACATTTCATTAGTCTCCCTCCTATTGACTCAAAAATAGAATCAGTGTTCTAGGACCTACATACTTTTGGCTTTTATGATATTTACATGAATGTTCAGAAGAGTTTTATGGCGGAGCTCAAAGCGCGTGCAGCGTAGCCCCATAATTATACAAACTTAGTTTCTTCACATAGCCTTTCTCAGTGTCATCCTGGATTGACTTTGCATATCTCTCTCTGACCTCGGGGAAGCCCTCAAACTTCTTCTCTAGGGATTGCAGCCTCTTCTTTTGCCATTTCGTAATTGCTGGGTAGAGATGGTTTCTCTTCTCTCCAACGTAGGCCTGACAAATACGCATCTTCACTCGCATTCTTAAAGGTTGTCTTTCCATTAGTGACAATGCTCGCTTGTTCTCAATCGAACGGCTTGGATCTGCTAACTTCACTTCACCTAACGTTTCTATCTCTGACCGAGCCACGACCGGCTGCTTTAGCTCCTCATCTTCAAGTGAACTTCTTTCATACACCATGAACCTATTGTACGGAGATGCTACTCTTCGCTCACCAGATAACCAGTTATTCACTGCCCATCCAAGTAAGGTCTCAACTGCATAAGGTACTCTGTCAACTGCCGGTTGACCAGAGGGTTTCACAATTTGTTTTGATAGAATCAAATCAGAGTTTTTAGTTCCAATTATGAGTTGCACTGGACCTGTGTCGGTGTCACGTAAGTCCAAGTTCTTCAGGTGCTGATACTCTTGCTTGACTGTTGACCACTTCAACTTCTGATCCGGACCATTCAGGCGAGGAATTGTTCTCACATCTCGCAAAGAGTACTGGAGTTCGTCTCTTCCGACTCGTGCGACACGGCATTTCTTGATGTGCTGGGAAGTAAACACCTTCCGCATATTTACTCCTTGAATTTCGCGATCTACATCTTTGCCTTGAAGTCCAAGTGAGAGCGCTAAACTTTCATCCATAAGTGTTGTGTTACAGCCTGAGTCACGCGAAGCCATCACTTCTTGTTTTCCTTTTTCTCCGAAGACAACTATAGGAAGTACTTCAACCAAAGCACAACCACCAGCTTCACAACCTACGTACGCTGATTGGCGATACCCCTCGTAGCGCTCCACAGCCTGACGTGGTGACAAGTCTTCACCTTCCAAGGAAACTTGTGCTGGATCTCTCTCAACGTCTGGCACTCGTTCTGATTCACGTTTCGCTTTTGCCCGTTCAATGAATTTCAAGTCGACTTTATGTACGAGGGTATGATGACGCATGTCACAGTTCTTTGTATCTATTCCTAGTGCGGTATTTACTCAGAGGATGACCAAGTAATAGACAACATGAGCATAGTTTGTATTCCTCAACAACTTTCACCTTTTCGCTAGTCAACATTCCCTTAAAACTTTTGCACTCCTGCAAAGTGTGATTGGTGGACTGGTGAATTGGGCACCTCTTTGTTTCATAGCTGGTGCGTAAAGCCTCTCCTGTGGCTCCTACAAACAGCCCAGACTGTGATTTGTCGGCTGACTTACGCCTTTCAACTTTAGATGTATCTGAACGCCTCCACTCTCTCTTCTCTGGCATCCACCGCTGCTTGGACTCACTGATTTTTGCCTCTTTTTCCAGCCAATTGGCAAATGAATCCCAGGTTGACAACTTTGGTTTTCCTTCAACGAACTCGGCCCATCTACCGCAAAGGCGTGCAGGAAGTTTAGCAACAGTTGCTTTAGGGACTTGCGAGTTAAGCTCATGAAGGAAGTCGTGCTCCTTGAAAATGCCTATCAACTCAGAAACTATTTCTTGTTACTGTCTGATCTGCGTACTATTTTCTTTCACTATGGTCGGAAATTGATCTATGCGCTTCTTCCAGCTGACAAAACTGTGTCTACACGGCCAAAACGCTCTTGAAGCGCAGTCCATGCCTCCTCGTATCTGTTTGAACTTATCGTGAATTTCGCCAGACATGATTTTGCATTTCTATCTACAGAATCTAGCAGAAATTTAAGCTTCTCTGTTGCATCGTAAACTTCCCTTTTATCTACTTCAACATTAAACGCTACTTTGAATTTTGAGTACTCTAGTGGATTTCCATTAAATTTCTGCACATTTGGTTCAATGATTTTCACAAAGGCTGGCAGCATTTTCTCAAACAACTGATCTATCTTCGACGTCTGCACGCTAGGGTTTCCTGTGGCAGAGGTTTTCAAAGCAGCTTGACCTTTAGCAATAGATGACTCACGTGTATCCTTTTTACAGGGTTGACTAGCAACCTCTGTTACGACCTCTGGTTTAGTAGATTTAATTTCAGGTTTTTCAACAACAGTGTTTTCAGTAATTTCCAGGTCTAAGCGCGAGACCCGATCGTTCACACCGTCTAAAGGTCATTCACTCAACTCTTCATCCATATCGCCTTTATTCGACATACCGTCTTCCTGGGTGATGGAATTTTCGAAGTCATATTCCAATCTTGATTCTTCAGCTTTCTTTTGAAGTTCCAAACGCTTTGCACGCTGCAGTTGTTCGGCTCGCAGACTCTCGACCTCATTTGCGAACGTTTGATCGGCCATTTTTTGTTCAAGGGCTAACTTCTCGGCTTGCGATTTCTTTCTCAAAACGGAACGTTTACTTGAAGTAGTGGACACACTTGGCGAAAACAGTTGCGGTGTTTTGTCTTCTCCTCTGTTCGAGGCACTCATCTTAGTGCGACTTGAATGAATCTTCACAATATTCAACCGCACGGCTCGGTGATAATATTACATGCAGTTACATGTACACGGGTGATTTACAGCTTGACTCGGCGATTTTTCGCTGATTTCGTTCAATATCCGGCTCGAAGGACCAAATGTCGTTGTTGTACGACAATTTGGACTCGGCTGATTCGATTTTTTTTTTCAACAACTTTATTCGCTCACGTTACTCATCGCCAGAAATCAAGGACATTTCGAGCCCGCTAACAATTATCAGCGGTATATCGTATTACACTCCGGAACAATAGAATATCAAGAGAATTCAATATGGCGGCGATCACGGCTCGATCTGCAAAGAAGAGTGTTTCGTACCATGACTTATACAATTTGAGCAGAATCAGTACTGAATATGTCTCAATCGAGAGCAGACGGGACCATGAGCTCCTGATTGTCATATTTTAGAAATTTTACAAATTTCCATACAGTTTCTTATATTATTTGGACGCCATTATGGACGAAATGCGCAAGCGCGGCCGCCATCTTGTCCAATATTTCTGCCGATGTCCAAACTCCTCAACTCAACTTGTTTTTTTTTATCTCACACATGAGCACGTGGCCCATGGCAACGAGCCGACCTGTCAATTCACATAGCAACACAAAAAATTAATAAATAAGTAAATGTACAAGAAGCAGGAGGGACTTATGCTGAAAACTGAAGAATTAATATCTGAAATTAATAGTCATCACATTTTGCAATTAAACGGGGCTCGGACAATTTGACCTCACAAGCACGCTGGTAAGCACATGGTTAGCGTAAATAATTGTTGTTTACAGTTTTCGAATTCAAGAGCAGTTTTTGAGAATCTGTTTCTGTAACCTTCCTGAATATTTTCTGTTAAACTCATTGAGGTCCAGCCTCGGAATTTCATAAACGATTACGAATGATAGATTTGTATCGGCACCATAATTTAGGGAAGTTTTGTCAACACATTAAAAGTTTACAATTCGCTGACCATTTTTGTACCCTGCTTGGATATTCTCTTTTGAAGTAATTGAGTCACACCCCCGGAATTTCATTGGTAATTAAGAACGATAAATCCGTATATACAGCACAAGTGAAGCACATTTTAAACTTTCATACGATTTTAGGAAACTCTCTCGTTACTTGTCTACTTTATATCATACTAATAATGTAAGGAGGAATTCTGTCTAGGTAACCAGTGGGACTTAACACTTTAACTCCCAAGATCTCATTAGTAATTCTCCTTACTATCTCCCATACAGTTCTTGTGATGTTAGTTTGGAGGATTTAGTATTGGATCATCTTATAATCCCCTAACTGATATTTTTCTTTATTCTCAAAACTTGTCTGCTTGATATTGTTTTGATATTATAATAAGAAATTCTGTCTTGGTCACTCATAAGAGTTAAAGGGTTCAAATGGGGGATTTCATCATATTGTAATGATTAAATTATTCTTTTGCTTTTAAATGTAACAAAAAATGTGATGAGAATCTGATGTTATAAAACACCTGCAATGGAAAAACCCATTGCTGGTAGCTTAAGTCTTTAATGCTTCAATTTTCATGGGAAATGCTTTTCTTTGAAAGTGGGGATGCAGAAGTTTTAAAGCTGATAGAAATAAGCTGTTTGCAATTAATAAAAGGCAAATTGACGATCATACCTTAATGCTCTACATGCTTTACTCATACATGTCAGTTGTGTGTACCTACCATTGTAGTGGTGTCTTTAAAAATATTTTTTTTTTACACCAGGCAGCCTCCAGGTTGGGAGAGTAGAAGACCACAGAATGATGTTTACTTGGCACTTGTACTTACTACAATCATATATTCAAGCAGTACTCTACATATGTATAACTGATTACATGATGTCTTTCACCCTTTACACCCTAATATCAGAATGCGTATTCTCCATTCTGTTCTGTATACATTTCCTAAAGTTCTGGCAGGGAGAATTTGTCTTACAATCACAGGTTCTTCAGTTGATTATCATTTCCTTATTCTTGTGACCTTGATGTGTGACTCAGGGGTGACATTGAAAGAAGAAATTAGGTGCTAGTCACTCTCAGGGATTAAAGTGTTATTAACTGTGCACATTTTCATGTATATGCTCCTTGCATTTGTTGGCAATAATAGCCAAGATTGTGAGGAAAGCAAACAAACAATTGAACAGAAGACAGTGAAATGAGGGAAACTGTAAAATTTACCATTTGATAGAAAAAACATCACAGAATACTCAAGAAGGGAAACTTGAATCATGCTAGCTAATTTCTTCTATTGCTGTTCATGTTTTTGACCAAAAATTTAATCAGGATTTGCCTGCAATGTGTCAAATTGCTAGTGTGGACTTCATTCTTCTCAGATGTCAGCTGGTAAAAGATAGATACTAAAATTAGATGTCCATAAGAAAAAGTACACATCATTAAAAAATCACACTGGTGGCATGATTGATTTGTGATATTTAGAATGACGGAGGTAGGAAAAAACACATTGAGCTTTTTCCTATTCACCAGTAAGTTAATTACATTTTGGATTCTACATTCAAACTTGGTGAGATTACATTTATTCATATCATGCTTCATTATGGTTTGTTTACCTGGAAAGGTTATTGTTATTATAGCTTCAGATGTTTTTGTTGCAATCACAATTAACATTCATAACAAAGTTTCATTTAACATAGAATGTTTCAAGAACTTTCTTCCTTTCTCTTCAAAATCATTAACTATTCCTGGAGCACAATTAAAGGAAGTGGGTTATTAAAAAATTATAACTTTTGATTCAGGTAATTATTTGAATATGAGTTACATTTCATGTTTTCACATGTAACAGGATGATCAAGCGGAAGATAGCCTCAAAAAGGATTGAACTCGACTATAAGAATTAGATGACTAATTTGGAAACTTGAACACTTGGTAAATACACCTTGGCTTGCAATTCTGATGAATACAGTTTGCTGAGGTAATTGAAATATTAGTCCCCATTCAGGAACCTTCCACATGACCTGTGTAGTCATGTGCTTTGAGATAACTTTAGAAAGTGTATTTGTGTCAGTAGAACTATTGTAAATACAGTACCACCTGGTGACAAAAATAAATGATTTCCTGTGAGCATGAACATTTGGGAGAAGTTATGGTGGTAATTGACCCTTTTTTGCTAGGATGCATAGGGTCTGATGATTGTAATGTATATATTTTGGCTTTCAAACCTTCAACTTTGTATTAATTGTAACTGTTTACCAGCCCTCAAAAGTTGAAGCAGGTGAGTGAATAACCTGACTTCCTTTGTTTGGAATTTTGTGATTATATAATTTTGCTGTGTAAGTTACCATACTGTAAAATGTAATATTATTATTTAGGTTGCATTAAATATACTAGCTCAAGCTTTCATTAATGAATGGTGTTTCTTACCAATGGTCCTACCCAAACTAAACATTGAAATAAGGAATTGGTCACAAGATATGTGAGCTTAAAAGGGTGGGAATCTGGAAAAACAAGGATCCTCCTTTAATTAGGACTGAAATTAATGGTGGCCCTCCTATGTTAATTCATGTTTTTAATTTGACCTGCCTCCTCCCCTGTAATGTTTAGGGCACATAGATGAAGAGAACATTTTTGTATTTTGATGCATCAAAGTTAAATTACCAGTAGTTGGGGTCCACATAATGCACAAAGCAAGAATATAAAGCTTTAGCTTAATGGGTCAAAAAATTAAAATAAGAGAGTTTTGCAGACCATGTCTGACTTTTTATCCTGGCTCTGGATATTTATTCAAAAAACATAGTCACTATCAGTCTCATTCACTCTCACTTTCCAATGAACTTGTGGAGAGATGATAACCTCATTATTTCTTTCAATGTAGAAAGGATGGCTTACCCTCTTACCATAGATATTTCTGTTGGGAATTATCAGTACAAACCTGGTCTAATTTTTACGTGAAAGTGATTGTTCCAGGTACTGGCTAACCTTAAAAATTAGTTGTGAAAATTTCTTGAACCTGTCGTTGTACGTCTTGAATGTTTGACCCAATCTTACCTCACTACATAGAAACACAAAATTTATTTGCTCTCCTTTTGAGGTGTGCGTCAAAATTTCTAAGTCATCACAGGCTTAAACTACAGGTTTTCAGGAAATCTGCATGGGCATGTGTTTTCAACATATGAAACTGGGATTATGACTACTTCAAAAGACTTCACTACATGCCATTAGGTACAGGCGGGTGTTGTAAAAAAGTTTCCTTAGCTTTTTCATTAGTACACATTTCTTTTCCTAAGGATTTTGTTTATCCAGCCTGTGAATTCTAATTTTTCAACCAAATTTTATTATTTTTTAAAATATTATTAGATCTCCTAGTATCAGTTAATATTCATGTAATTAAAATAATTACATAAAATCTTGAAGATGTATAGCACATTATTTTTCTCTGATCCTTCTAACATTTTACCATGTGAAAGTTTTTTGCACAACTTATGCATCAAATTATAGTTATAAAATATTGTATCCTTCTTAAAACTAGTTTTATTGGATTAAGAAGGAGTTACCGGGCACAAGTATGGCTTTCACAATGATAGTTTCGAGGTTTGAAAAAAAGTCACTGCCTACCAAAATCCTTAGTTCCTTTGCCCTGACAGCCTCACCTCATCAAAACACTGCCATCAGGAGCGATTTGCGAATTATTGATACAGACAAGAGAGCGTATTCGCACATAGATCCTCCTCGATCCTGTTAGCTTACTATGGACCTGGCATTTCAAACATTGTGTAATTATGCCACAAGTTTTCCATTTCCCTAACTAATTATTTTGCAATAGCGTTCATATGTTGCGGAAAATGGTCAGGTTGAAATATAATACAAAGACTTGCTAGTAGATAGTCAGATGAAAACGTTTTACATATCAATAAAATGTATTGTTGCCTTTCATGTTAACATGTTGCAATAACTCCACCTCCCAGCAAATTCAGTTATTTGTAAACATGAGAAAATACCATCTAAAGCTTTTCAACCAATTTGATATAGCCAATAAAAACACCAACTCGACTTTTAAACTTAAGAGAAAACTTGATTGATCTTTGGAATTGATTTCTGTGATGTAACAATGAAATCCAGGTATTAGCTCAAGTTTTCTTAAAGACACCCACATTACTTGCAGTTACACCTGCGGTTATCGAGTTAAATAAAAGGAAAAATCTCAAAAAGACGTCGCGTATTTCCAGCCAGAGGACAATCATGAAACATGAAACATGAAACAAGAGTAGCCAAAAGCGAAAAAGTTTTAAAAAATTACACAGGTTCAAACACGAGATAAAATTAGTTTATTTTTAATTTTCTACGCTAAACAGGAGGTTGAAATGTTGGGGAAAAACGGCGGGGTAAGCAGTCATACCTCGCAACTTCAATAGAAGATATAAAAGAAGCCTATACGATTCTGGCGTATGGTTTTACTGACTCGCTGTGCTCACTGCACGTGTATACACCTCAATCCTAATGCAAAGTGCTTTACTGTCGTTTCTTTCAATTTTGACCCATTTTCCCAAACTGAAATTGTAAGTCACGCTCAATAAAATTACAATTTATTCATTCAGTATAATGAAGGGCTGGGAAATAAACTAACAAGAGCTCCGCTTTTAGGCTTGGCTAAATCTATATATTATAAACTTACCCTGTCAACATTGCTTTCTTGGTAGGTGACCACAGTTATACCATCCATTGATAAGCGAATCTTATACTTTGTTGTCCACTCATTAATACCATAAGCTCCTTGAGTAGCAACAGCACAGATAACATACTCATACAGAAGATCAATCTGCAGGTAGTCGGCAGGATCGGAATTAGTCTTCGGTGCCCAACCCCGGTTATTTCCATTCAGTCGAGCATAAGAGGGTATATACCCAGAACTATAATGCGATGAGGCGGAGAAGCTGCTGTCTGGAATTCTTCCACCACTAGCCAGACCAATAGCTTTCAATTCACAACCTGCAAAGTAAGGGCACTTATCTGAATAACAAACATACCTCATTGAAATGAAACAGACAGCAGGTGTAGCAAAACTTCTTTAAAACTTAGAAAAAAATAATTACACCTACACTACAATATATAAATAATGCTCATACCGCGATGACATTTGTCTTAGGGAGAGATCAAAACAAGTTGGAGCAAGGTAAGGGCACTTATCTGAATAACAAACATACCTCATCGAAATGAGACAGACAGTGGTATCTGTTTCATTGAAATGAAACAGATACCAGGTGTGAAAAAACGTCTTTAAAACTTAGAAAAAAAAATTACGCCTACTCTACAATATACAAATAATGCTCATACCATGATGATATTTGTCTTAGGGAGAAATGAAAACAAGCTGGAGCAAATAAATACCTCTTCTAAGAAGTAGCCCATAAACTTCCACTCTTAGAGCCTTCCATCCGTAATATGTTGTTGGTTGAAAGCGGATGTATTTTGCAGTGGCGAATTCCTGTAGACTGTTTTTTACGATGCCATTTTGATTTGAGTTTCCGGGAAAGACCTATAGTTTGCGGTATAAAATGATAAATCATTATGTCAAAAGGTTCTTAATATTACTGCTTCACCAGTCGCTCCTGTGTATCAGCTATTTGCATATCTCTAATGGCTATGGAAAGACTTAGTGTCTGTTGTTTCAGAACCAACACGAGGCGAGTATGTAACCCTGTATATCACTTTGGGTCAGTAATATAAGGGAGAGGTACATCTAGTTTATGAGAAATTATGATACAACAACCACTTGCTGGGTAAACACCCAAAATTATGACATTTCGAAACACTTTCACACAGCGCTATCATTTTCTGTTGCATCGAATACATATTCTATTAAACAACAAGACTAAGTCTTGACCAAGTAGATACTTCTTTGTTCTCCTTTCCTTTGACTCAAAAGTTGAATCAGTGTTCTAGAAGCTATATACTTTTGGCTTTTATGATATGTACATGAATGTTCACAAGAGATTTATATAAACTTACCCTGTCAACATTGTTTTCTTGATACGTGACCATAGTGGTACCATCCACTGACAAGCGAATCTTGTAGTTTGTTGTCCACTCATTCAAACCTCTACCTCCTTGAGTAGCAACGGTACAAATAACATACTCATACAGAAGGTTAATTTGGAGGTAGTCTGCAGGATCAGACTTGGTCCTGGGTACCCAACCCCGGGTATTTCCATTCAGTCGAGCATAAGAGGGTATATACCCAGAACTATAATGTGATGAGGCGGAGAAGCTGCTGTCTGGAATTCTTCCACCACTAGCCAGACCAATAGCCTTCAATTCACAACCTACAAGGTAACAGCACTCATCTGAATAACAAACATACCTCATTGAAATAAAACAGACAGCAGGTGTAAAAAAACGTCTTTAAAACTGAGAAGAAAAAAAAATACGCCTACCCTACAATATACAAATAATGCTCATACCGTGATGATATTTGATGATGATACCGCAAAGATATTTATTTTAGGGAGAGATGAAAACAAGCTGGAGCAAATAAATACCTCTTCTTAGAAGTAGCCCATAAACTTCCACTCTTAGAGCCTTCCATCCGTAATATGTTGTTGGTTGAAAGCGGATGTATTTTGCAGTGGCGAATTCCTGTAGACTGTTTTTTACAATGCCATTCTGATTTGAGTTTCCGGGAAAGACCTATAGTTTGTGGTATAAAATTATAAATCATTATGTCAAAAGGTTCTTAATACTAATGCTTCACAAGTCGCTCCTGAGTATAAGCTATTTGCATATCTCTAATGGCTATGGAAAGACTTAGTCTCTGTTGTTTCAGAACCAACACGAGGCAAGTATGTAACCCTGTATATCACTTTGGGTCAGTAACATAAGGGAGAGGTACATGTAGTTTATGAGAAGTTATGATACAACAAGCACTTGCTGGATAAACACCCAAAATTATGACATTTCGAAACACTTTCACAGAGTGCCTTTATTTTCTGTTGCATCGAGTACATACTCTATTAAACAGCAAGAATGAGTCTTGACCAAGTAGATACTTTTCTCTTCTTCTTCCTTTTGACTCAAAACTTGAATCAGTGTTCTAAGAGCTATATACTTTTGGCTTTTATGATATGTACATGAATGTTCACAAGAGTTTTATATGAACTTACCCTGTCGACATTGTTTTCTTGGTAGGTGACCATAGTGGTACCATCCATTGATAAGCCAATCTTATACTTTGTTGTCCACTCATTAATACCATAAGCTCCTTGAGTAGCAACAGCACAGATAACATACTCATACAGAAGATCAATCTGCAGGTAGTCGGCAGGATCAGAAGTAGTCTTGGGTGCCCAACCTCGGTTACTTCCATTCAGTCGAGCGTAAGAAGGTATATACCCAGAACTATAATGCGATGAGGCGGAGAAGCTGCTGTCTGGAATTCTTCCACCATTAGCTAGACCAACAGCTTTCAATTCACAACCTGCAAGGTAAGGTCACTTATCTAAATAACAAACATACTTCATCGAAATGAAACAGACAGTAGGTTTTAAAAAAAAACTCCTTTCAAAATTAAAAAATAATAATTATGCCTACCCTACATTATACAAATAATGCTCATACCATGATGATATTTATTTTAGGGAGATTTAAAATTAGGTAGAGGAAATAAATACCTTTTGTTTGAAGTACTCCATAAACTTCCACTCTTAGAGCCTTCCATCCGTAATATGTTGTTGGTTGAAAGCGGATGTATTTTGCAGTGGCAAATTCCTGTAGACTATTTTTTACGATGCCATTTTGATTTGAGTTTCCGGGAAAGACCTATAGTTTGTGGTACAAAATGATAAATCATTACGTCAAAAGGTTCTAAATACTATTGCTTCACAAGCCGCTCTTGAGTATCAGCTATTAACATATCTCTAAAGGCTGTGGAAAGACTTAGTGTCAGTTTCAGAACCAACACAAAGCAAAAATGTAACCCTGTATATCACTTTGGGTTGATAACATACGGAAGAGATACATGTAGTTTATGAGAAATTATGATACAACAACCACTTCCCGGATAAACGCCCAAAAATATGACATTTCGAAACACTTTCACACAAAGCTTTTATTTTCTGTTGCATCGAGTACATACTCTATTAAACAGCAAGAATGAGTCTTGACCAAGTAGATACTTTTCTCTTCTCCTTCCTTTTGACTGAAAACTTGAATCAGTGTTCTAAGAGCTATATACTTTTGGCTTTTATGATATGTACATGAATGTTCACAAGAGTTTTATATGAACTTACCCTGTCGACATTGTTTTCTTGGTAGGTGACCATAGTGGTACCATCCATTGATAAGCCAATCTTATACTTTGTTGTCCACTCATTAATACCATAAGCTCCTTGAGTAGCAACAGCACAGATAACATACTCATACAGAAGATCAATCTGCAGGTAGTCGGCAGGATCAGAATTAGTCTTGGGTGCCCAACCTCGGTTACTTCCATTCAGTCGAGCATAAGAGGGTATATACCCAGAACTATAATGTGATGAGGCGGAGAAGCTGCTGTCTGGAATTCGTCCACCACTAGCCAGACCAATAGCTTTCAATTCACAATCTGCAAGGTTAGGTCACTTATCTCAATAACAAACATAACTCATCGAAATGAAACAGACAGTAGGTTTTAAAAAAAGTTGTTCAAAAATTAAAAAACAATACTTATGTCTACCCTACAATATACAAATAATGCTCATACCATGATGATATTTATTTTAGGAAACGATAAAATTAAGTAGAGCAAAAAGATACCTTTCTTTAGAAGTACTCCATAAACTTCCACTCTTAGAGCCTTCCATCCGTAATATGTTGTTGGTTGAAAGCGGATGTATTTTGCACTGGCGAATTCCTGTAGACTGTTCTTTACGATACCATTTTGATTTGAGTTTCCGGGAAAAACCTGTAGTTTGTGGTACAAAATGATAAAGCATTATGTCTAAAGGTTCTTCTACTACTGCTTCACGAGCTGCTCCTACGTATCAGCTATTTACATATCCATAATTGCTATGGATAGACTTAGTTTCTTTCCTTTCAGAACCAACACGAAGCGAGTATGTGACCCTGTCTATCACCTCGGGTCAATAACCTAAGGGAGAGGTACATGGAGTTTGGGAGAGATTATGATAGAACAACCACTTGTTGGATAAACACCCAAAAATATGACATTTCGAAAACACTTTCACACAATGTTTTTATTTTCTCTTGCATCAATTACGTACTCTATTTAACAAGAAGACTGAGTCTTAACCAAGTAGATAATTCTTTTTTGTCCCTCCTCTTGACTCAAAATTTGAATCAGTGTTCTAGAAGCTATATACTTTTGGCTTTTATGATATGTACATGAATGTTCACAAGCGTTTTATATGAACTTACCCTATCAACGTTGTTTTCTTGATACGTGACCATAGTGGTACCATCCATTGATAAGCCAATCTTATACTTTGTTGTCCACTCATTAATACCATAAGCTCCTTGAGTAGCAACAGCACAGATAACATACTCATACAGAAGATCAATCTGCAGGTAGTCGGCAGGATCAGAAGTAGTCTTGGGTGCCCAACCCCGGTTATTTCCATTCAGTCGAGCATAAGAGGGTATATACCCAGAACTATAATGCGATGAGGCGGAGAAGCTGCTGTCTGGAATTCTTCCACCACTAGCCAGACCAATAGCTTTCAATTCACAACCTGCAAAGTAAGGGCACTTATCTGAATAACAAACATACCTCATTGAAATGAAACAGACAGCAGGTGTAAAAAAACTTCTTTAAAACTTAGAAAAAAATAATTACGCCTACACTACAATATATAAATAATGCTGATACCGTGATGATATTTGTCTTAGGGAGAGATCAAAACAAGTTGGAGCAAATAAATACCTCTTCCTTGAAGTAGCCCATAAACTTCAACTCTTAGAGCCTTCCATCCGTAATATGTTGTTGGTTGAAAGCGGATGTATTTTGCAGTGGCGAATTCCTGAAGACTGTTTTTTACGATGCCATTTTGATTTGAGTTTCCGGGAAAGACCTATAGTTTGTGGTATAAAATGATAAATCATTATGTCAAAAGGTTCTTAATATTACTGCTTCACCAGTCGCTCCTGTGTATCAGCTATTTGCATATCTCTAATGGCTATGGAAAGACTTATGCCCCATTCACACCAAAGCTTAAACATGTTTAAAAGTTGTTTTGTTAAACACAGTTTAATTTTTTTTTCTTCATAGAAACTATTTAACCGAATATTTTTGACTTGAATGTAGCACATTGGAAATGCAAGTTAGCAAGTACTTGAATCCAATGGAAAATCAAGTTTTTCAGTTCTCTGTTTATAATTTTCATTCAATGAAAACCAGTTTAACAAAACATGTTTTGCTGGTGTGAATGAGGTATTAGTGTCTGTTGTTTCAGAACCAACACGAGGTGAGTATGTAACCCTGTATATCACTTTGGGTCAGTAATATAAGAGAGAGGTACATCTAGTCTATGAGAAGTTATGATACAACAACCACTTGCTGGGTAAACACCCAAAAGTATGACATTTCGAAACACTTTCACACAGCGCTTTCATTTTCTGTTGCATTGAATACATATTCTATTAAACAACAAGATTGAGTCTTGACCAAGTAGATACTTCTTTGTTCTCCTTTCCTTAGACTCAAAAGTTGAATCAGTGTTCTAGAAGCTATATACTTTTGGCTTTTATGATATGTACATGAATATTCACAAGAGATTTATATGAACTTACCCTGTCAACGTTGTTTTCTTGGTAAGTGACCATAGTGGTACCATCCATTGATAAGCGAATCTTATACTTTGTTGTCCACTCATTAATACCATAAGCTCCTTGAGTAGCAACAGCACAGATAACATACTCATACAGAAGATCAATCTGCAGGTAGTCGGCAGGATCAGAATTAGTCTTGGGTGCCCAACCTCGGTTACTTCCATTCAGTCGAGCATAAGAGGGTATATACCCAGAACTATAATGGGATGAGGCGGAGAAGCTGCTGTCTGGAATTCTTCCACCACTAGCCAAACCAATAGCTTTCAATTCACAACCTGCAGGGTAAAGTCACTTATCTGAATAACAAACATACCTCAACAAAATGAAACAGACAGTAGGTTAAAAAAAGAACTTCTTTAAAAGTTAGAAAAAAATATTTGTGGCTACCCTACAATATATTAATAATGCTCTTACGTGATGATATTTATCTTATGGAGAGATAAAGACAAGCTAGAGCAAATTAATACCTTTTGTTAAAAGTACTCCATAAACTTCCACTCTCAGCGCCTTCCATCCGTAAAACGTTGTTGGTTGAAAGCGGATGTATTTTGCAGTTGCAAATTCCTGTAGACGGTTTTTTACGATGCCATTTTGATTTGAGTTTCCGGGAAAGACCTATAGTTTGTGGTACAAAATCTTAAATTGTTATGTCGAAAGGTTATGAATGGTACCGCTTCAGAAGCCGCCCTGAAGTATCAGCTATTTACATACCTCTAATCGCTATGGAAAGACTTAGTTTCTGTTCTTTCAGAACCAACGCGAGGCAAGTATGTGACCCTGTATATCACTTTAGGTCAATAACATAAGGGAGAAGTAAACGTAGTTTGTGACAAATTATGATACAACAACCGCTTGTTGGAAAAACACCCAAAATTATGACTATCCGAAAGTACTTTCAGACAATGTTTTTATTTTCTCTTGCATCGATTATTTACTCTATTAAACAACAAGACTGAGTCTTCACTAAGAAGATACTTCTTTGTTGTCCCTCCTCTTTACTAAAAAATTGAATCAGTATTCTAAGAGCTATATTTTCGGAAAGACTTCAGTTTTCTAGGGGCTATACTTTTGGCTTTTATGATATGTACATGAATGTTCACAAGAGTTTTATATGAACTTACCCTATCAACGTTGTTTTCTTGATACGTGACCATAGTGGTACCATCCATTGATAAGCCAATCTTATACTTTGTTGTCCACTCATTAATACCATAAGCTCCTTGAGTAGCAACAGCACAGATAACATACTCATGCAGAAGATAAATCTGCAGGTAGTCGGCAGGATCAGAAGTAGTCTTGGGTGCCCAACCTCGGTTACTTCCATTCAGTCGAGCGTAAGAAGGTATATACCCAGAACTATAATGCGATGAGGCGGAGAAGCTGCTGTCTGGAATTCTTCCACCATTAGCTAGACCAACAGCTTTCAATTCACAACCTGCAAGGTAAGGTCACTTATCTAAATAACAAACATACTTCATCGAAATGAAACAGACAGTAGGTTTTAAAAAAAAACTCCTTTCAAAATTAAAAAATAATAATTATGCCTACCCTACATTATACAAATAATGCTCATACCATGATGATATTTATTTTAGGGAGATTTAAAATTAGGTAGAGGAAATAAATACCTTTTGTTTGAAGTACTCCATAAACTTCCACTCTTAGAGCCTTCCATCCGTAATATGTTGTTGGTTGAAAGCGGATGTATTTTGCAGTGGCAAATTCCTGTAGACTATTTTTTACGATGCCATTTTGATTTGAGTTTCCGGGAAAGACCTATAGTTTGTGGTACAAAATGATAAATCATTACGTCAAAAGGTTCTAAATACTATTGCTTCACAAGCCGCTCTTGAGTATCAGCTATTAACATATCTCTAAAGGCTGTGGAAAGACTTAGTGTCAGTTTCAGAACCAACACAAAGCAAAAATGTAACCCTGTATATCACTTTGGGTTGATAACATACGGAAGAGATACATGTAGTTTATGAGAAATTATGATACAACAACCACTTCCCGGATAAACGCCCAAAAATATGACATTTCGAAACACTTTCACACAAAGCTTTTATTTTCTGTTGCATCGAGTACATACTCTATTAAACAGCAAGAATGAGTCTTGACCAAGTAGATACTTTTCTCTTCTCCTTCCTTTTGACTGAAAACTTGAATCAGTGTTCTAAGAGCTATATACTTTTGGCTTTTATGATATGTACATGAATGTTCACAAGAGTTTTATATGAACTTACCCTGTCGACATTGTTTTCTTGGTAGGTGACCATAGTGGTACCATCCATTGATAAGCCAATCTTATACTTTGTTGTCCACTCATTAATACCATAAGCTCCTTGAGTAGCAACAGCACAGATAACATACTCATACAGAAGATCAATCTGCAGGTAGTCGGCAGGATCAGAATTAGTCTTGGGTGCCCAACCTCGGTTACTTCCATTCAGTCGAGCATAAGAGGGTATATACCCAGAACTATAATGTGATGAGGCGGAGAAGCTGCTGTCTGGAATTCGTCCACCACTAGCCAGACCAATAGCTTTCAATTCACAATCTGCAAGGTTAGGTCACTTATCTCAATAACAAACATAACTCATCGAAATGAAACAGACAGTAGGTTTTAAAAAAAGTTGTTCAAAAATTAAAAAACAATACTTATGTCTACCCTACAATATACAAATAATGCTCATACCATGATGATATTTATTTTAGGAAACGATAAAATTAAGTAGAGCAAAAAGATACCTTTCTTTAGAAGTACTCCATAAACTTCCACTCTTAGAGCCTTCCATCCGTAATATGTTGTTGGTTGAAAGCGGATGTATTTTGCACTGGCGAATTCCTGTAGACTGTTCTTTACGATACCATTTTGATTTGAGTTTCCGGGAAAAACCTGTAGTTTGTGGTACAAAATGATAAAGCATTATGTCTAAAGGTTCTTCTACTACTGCTTCACGAGCTGCTCCTACGTATCAGCTATTTACATATCCATAATTGCTATGGATAGACTTAGTTTCTTTCCTTTCAGAACCAACACGAAGCGAGTATGTGACCCTGTCTATCACCTCGGGTCGATAACCTAAGGGAGAGGTACATGGAGTTTGTGAGAGATTATGATAGAACAACCACTTGTTGGATAAACACCCAAAAATATGACATTTCGAAAACACTTTCACACAATGTTTTTATTTTCTCTTGCATCAATTACGTACTCTATTTAACAAGAAGACTGAGTCTTAACCAAGTAGATAATTCTTTTTTGTCCCTCCTCTTGACTCAAAATTTGAATCAGTGTTCTAGAAGCTATATACGTTTGGCTTTTATGATATGTACATGAATGTTCACAAGAGATTTATATGAACTTACCCTATCAACGTTGTTTTCTTGATACGTGACCATAGTGGTACCATCCATTGATAAGCCAATCTTGTAGTTTGTTGTCCACTCGTTGATACCATTAGCTCCTTGGGTAGCAACAGCACAGATAACATACTCATACAGAAGGTCAATTTGGAGGTAGTCGGAAGGATTGGAATTAGTCTTGGGTGCCCAACCCCGCTTATTTTCATTTAGTCGACCATAAGAAGGTAAATACTTATTATTAAAATGCGATGAGGCAGAGAAGCTGCTGTCTGGAATTGTACCACCACTGGCCAGACCAATAGCTTTCAATTCACAACCTGCAAAGTAAGGGCACTTATCTGAATAACAAACATACCTCATTGAAATGAAACAGACAGCAGGTGTAAAAAAACTTCTTTAAAACTTAGAAAAAAATAATTACGCCTACACTACAATATATAAATAATGCTGATACCGTGATGATATTTGTCTTAGGGAGAGATCAAAACAAGTTGGAGCAAATAAATACCTCTTCCTTGAAGTAGCCCATAAACTTCAACTCTTAGAGCCTTCCATCCGTAATATGTTGTTGGTTGAAAGCGGATGTATTTTGCAGTGGCGAATTCCTGAAGACTGTTTTTTACGATGCCATTTTGATTTGAGTTTCCGGGAAAGACCTATAGTTTGTGGTATAAAATGATAAATCATTATGTCAAAAGGTTCTTAATATTACTGCTTCACCAGTCGCTCCTGTGTATCAGCTATTTGCATATCTCTAATGGCTATGGAAAGACTTATGCCCCATTCACACCAAAGCTTAAACATGTTTAAAAGTTGTTTTGTTAAACACAGTTTAATTTTTTTTTTCTTCATAGAAACTATTTAACCGAATATTTTTGACTTGAATGTAGCACATTGGAAATGCAAGTTAGCAAGTACTTGAATCCAATGGAAAATCAAGTTTTTCAGTTCTCTGTTTATAATTTTCATTCAATGAAAACCAGTTTAACAAAACATGTTTTGCTGGTGTGAATGAGGTATTAGTGTCTGTTGTTTCAGAACCAACACGAGGTGAGTATGTAACCCTGTATATCACTTTGGGTCAGTAATATAAGAGAGAGGTACATCTAGTCTATGAGAAGTTATGATACAACAACCACTTGCTGGGTAAACACCCAAAAGTATGACATTTCGAAACACTTTCACACAGCGCTTTCATTTTCTGTTGAATTGAATACATATTCTATTAAACAACAAGACTGAGTCTTGACCAAGTAGATACTTCTTTGTTCTCCTTTCCTTAGACTCAAAAGTTGAATCAGTGTTCTAGAAGCTATATACTTTTGGCTTTTATGATATGTACATGAATATTCACAAGAGATTTATATGAACTTACCCTGTCAACGTTGTTTTCTTGGTAAGTGACCATAGTGGTACCATCCATTGATAAGCGAATCTTATACTTTGTTGTCCACTCATTAATACCATAAGCTCCTTGAGTAGCAACAGCACAGATAACATACTCATACAGAAGATCAATCTGCAGGTAGTCGGCAGGATCAGAATTAGTCTTGGGTGCCCAACCTCGGTTTCTTCCATTCAGTCGAGCATAAGAGGGTATATACCCAGAACTATAATGGGATGAGGCGGAGAAGCTGCTGTCTGGAATTCGTCCACCACTAGCCAAACCAATAGCTTTCAATTCACAACCTGCAGGGTAAAGTCACTTATCTGAATAACAAACATACCTCAACAAAATGAAACAGACAGTAGGTTAAAAAAAGAACTTCTTTAAAAGTTAGAAAAAAATATTTGTGGCTACCCTACAATATATTAATAATGCTCTTACGTGATGATATTTATCTTATGGAGAGATAAAGACAAGCTAGAGCAAATTAATACCTTTTGTTAAAAGTACTCCATAAACTTCCACTCTCAGCGCCTTCCATCCGTAAAACGTTGTTGGTTGAAAGCGGATGTATTTTGCAGTTGCAAATTCCTGTAGACGGTTTTTTACGATGCCATTTTGATTTGAGTTTCCGGGAAAGACCTATAGTTTGTGGTACAAAATCTTAAATTGTTATGTCGAAAGGTTATGAATGGTACCGCTTCAGAAGCCGCCCTGAAGTATCAGCTATTTACATACCTCTAATCGCTATGGAAAGACTTAGTTTCTGTTCTTTCAGAACCAACGCGAGGCAAGTATGTGACCCTGTATATCACTTTAGGTCAATAACATAAGGGAGAAGTAAACGTAGTTTGTGACAAATTATGATACAACAACCGCTTGTTGGAAAAACACCCAAAATTATGACTATCCGAAAGTACTTTCAGACAATGTTTTTATTTTCTCTTGCATCGATTATTTACTCTATTAAACAACAAGACTGAGTCTTCACTAAGAAGATACTTCTTTGTTGTCCCTCCTCTTTACTAAAAAATTGAATCAGTATTCTAAGAGCTATATTTTCGGAAAGACTTCAGTTTTCTAGGGGCTATACTTTTGGCTTTTATGATATGTACATGAATGTTCACAAGAGTTTTATATGAACTTACCCTATCAACGTTGTTTTCTTGATACGTGACCATAGTGGTACCATCCATTGATAAGCCAATCTTATACTTTGTTGTCCACTCATTAATACCATAAGCTCCTTGAGTAGCAACAGCACAGATAACATACTCATGCAGAAGATAAATCTGCAGGTAGTCGGCAGGATCAGAAGTAGTCTTGGGTGCCCAACCTCGGTTACTTCCATTCAGTCGAGCGTAAGAAGGTATATACCCAGAACTATAATGCGATGAGGCGGAGAAGCTGCTGTCTGGAATTCTTCCACCATTAGCTAGACCAACAGCTTTCAATTCACAACCTGCAAGGTAAGGTCACTTATCTAAATAACAAACATACTTCATCGAAATGAAACAGACAGTAGGTTTTAAAAAAAAACTCCTTTCAAAATTAAAAAATAATAATTATGCCTACCCTACATTATACAAATAATGCTCATACCATGATGATATTTATTTTAGGGAGATTTAAAATTAGGTAGAGGAAATAAATACCTTTTGTTTGAAGTACTCCATAAACCTCCACTCTTAGAGCCTTCCATCCGTAATATGTTGTTGGTTGAAAGCGGATGTATTTTGCAGTGGCAAATTCCTGTAGACTATTTTTTACGATGCCATTTTGATTTGAGTTTCCGGGAAAGACCTATAGTTTGTGGTACAAAATGATAAATCATTACGTCAAAAGGTTCTAAATACTATTGCTTCACAAGCCGCTCTTGAGTATCAGCTATTAACATATCTCTAAAGGCTGTGGAAAGACTTAGTGTCAGTTTCAGAACCAACACAAAGCAAAAATGTAACCCTGTATATCACTTTGGGTTGATAACATACGGAAGAGATACATGTAGTTTATGAGAAATTATGATACAACAACCACTTCCCGGATAAACGCCCAAAAATATGACATTTCGAAACACTTTCACACAAAGCTTTTATTTTCTGTTGCATCGAGTACATACTCTATTAAACAGCAAGAATGAGTCTTGACCAAGTAGATACTTTTCTCTTCTCCTTCCTTTTGACTGAAAACTTGAATCAGTGTTCTAAGAGCTATATACTTTTGGCTTTTATGATATGTACATGAATGTTCACAAGAGTTTTATATGAACTTACCCTGTCGACATTGTTTTCTTGGTAGGTGACCATAGTGGTACCATCCATTGATAAGCCAATCTTATACTTTGTTGTCCACTCATTAATACCATAAGCTCCTTGAGTAGCAACAGCACAGATAACATACTCATACAGAAGATCAATCTGCAGGTAGTCGGCAGGATCAGAATTAGTCTTGGGTGCCCAACCTCGGTTACTTCCATTCAGTCGAGCATAAGAGGGTATATACCCAGAACTATAATGTGATGAGGCGGAGAAGCTGCTGTCTGGAATTCGTCCACCACTAGCCAAACCAATAGCTTTCAATTCACAACCTGCAGGGTAAAGTCACTTATCTGAATAACAAACATACCTCAACAAAATGAAACAGACAGTAGGTTAAAAAAAGAACTTCTTTAAAAGTTAGAAAAAAATATTTGTGGCTACCCTACAATATATTAATAATGCTCTTACGTGATGATATTTATCTTATGGAGAGATAAAGACAAGCTAGAGCAAATTAATACCTTTTGTTAAAAGTACTCCATAAACTTCCACTCTCAGCGCCTTCCATCCGTAAAACGTTGTTGGTTGAAAGCGGATGTATTTTGCAGTTGCAAATTCCTGTAGACGGTTTTTTACGATGCCATTTTGATTTGAGTTTCCGGGAAAGACCTATAGTTTGTGGTACAAAATCTTAAATTGTTATGTCGAAAGGTTATGAATGGTACCGCTTCAGAAGCCGCCCTGAAGTATCAGCTATTTACATACCTCTAATCGCTATGGAAAGACTTAGTTTCTGTTCTTTCAGAACCAACGCGAGGCAAGTATGTGACCCTGTATATCACTTTAGGTCAATAACATAAGGGAGAAGTAAACGTAGTTTGTGACAAATTATGATACAACAACCGCTTGTTGGAAAAACACCCAAAATTATGACTATCCGAAAGTACTTTCAGACAATGTTTTTATTTTCTCTTGCATCGATTATTTACTCTATTAAACAACAAGACTGAGTCTTCACTAAGAAGATACTTCTTTGTTGTCCCTCCTCTTTACTAAAAAATTGAATCAGTATTCTAAGAGCTATATTTTCGGAAAGACTTCAGTTTTCTAGGGGCTATACTTTTGGCTTTTATGATATGTACATGAATGTTCACAAGAGTTTTATATGAACTTACCCTATCAACGTTGTTTTCTTGATACGTGACCATAGTGGTACCATCCATTGATAAGCCAATCTTATACTTTGTTGTCCACTCATTAATACCATAAGCTCCTTGAGTAGCAACAGCACAGATAACATACTCATACAGAAGATCAATCTGCAGGTAGTCGGCAGGATCAGAAGTAGTCTTGGGTGCCCAACCTCGGTTACTTCCATTCAGTCGAGCATAAGAGGGTATATACCCAGAACTATAATGGGATGAGGCGGAGAAGCTGCTGTCTGGAATTCTTCCACCACTAGCCAGACCAATAGCTTTCAATTCACAACCTGCAAGGTAAGGTCACTTATCTGAATAACACGAATTGAGTTCGACTGCACATTGAGAGTAGGTCTTAGTTCTTGAACAAAAAAACATTTCATAAAGTAGGCAGTCGAATTTGCTAGTACACTTCTGTAAAACACTAAAATTCTTCGTAAGATCCCTTGGGGCCAAAGAATGCTTGTTGCGAAAATTCTTGCCCATCGATGAAGTCGAGTTTCTGAGTTCTTGTGCAGTCGGACTCAATTTGTGCAAAGGTTCTTTATTAGGTTTTCAATTTTAATTGGTTTTTAATTATCTTCCAATTATTTCTTCTCTTTGTATGTTCTTATTATCCTTTTACACTAGAAAAAACTTTTTTACACTTCTTACACGCATATATATATTCATCGTGACATTCTTACTATTCCCTTGAAAGAAAAAAAAAAAATTCAGGCCCGTACGGGATTTGAACCCATGACCTCTGCGATACCGGTGCAGCGCTCTACCAATTGAGCTAACAAGCCAACTGGGAGTCCAGATAAACATCCAAGTGAATGAAGATTTTAGATATATGAAAATTCACATATTTGCACTGCGGTGGAGAGATGAAATTAAGGGATCCTCGCAGCTAAGAACACTACTGAAACGAGTAGTTGTAAATAGGACCTGAAAAAAAGTGCAAATATGTGAATTTTCATATATCTAAAATCTTCATTCAAATGGATCTTGGACGAGTTGTTGCAATCACTGCGAAGAGCAAAAGCGAAAATAGTTTATCATTTCGAGCGCCGATCGTTTTGTTTTGATCTGAATGAGTGCACTTTAATTAAACTACTTCTTTATTATGTAAATATTGCGTGTCATAAATAGTGCTCGTGTTCGCGCGCTGGCGGTTCATTCTTTCGCAACTTTCGACTGAATCAAGCAAAACAGAGGTAATGTTTATAACCAAAGAAACGAGAAGAGGAACAAAAGTAAAAAAAGTCCCGAAATCGACTCTCGAGTCGCATTACAACACTTCAAGGGGGGTCTGTTTACGCGAGTCATTACGTGCATTGAAAACTCTACAACGTATTTTATTAATTTATTATACTCATTACTCGTACTTTTATTTTTTCCACTGGATAAAAATATCTTAGAAAGCAACAAAGCAAGTTCTGAATGATTTAAGAACCCTGTTTAAAATCTATAGGGTATATTTATACCGCTTGTTCTCTTAACTTCACATCGCAAATACCGTACTATGTTAAAATACGCGAGCTCCGTGTGGGGGCGCGCGGCGCATGCAATGTTTACTTCTACTTGAACATGTAAGCTGATAAGTGCTTGGGTTTGATCCGAGGTTGATGTCTTTGACATGTTGCCCAACACACCGGAATGCGTAGCAATTATTAGACATCAATCAAGCAGATTCCCGGGAGAGTTTATTTCATCTGTTAACAAAAGAAAAATATCTCACCTACATCAAAGAAGTTACGCCTTTCACGATCTTCACGAAGAATGAATTTTTTTTGTCAGAAAGATTCGTGGCGTACTTTTACCTCGAGGGACTGTTTGGACTGAATGTTCACAAGTTGCTCTATGTATTAGCATTTAGTAAATGAATCGAATAAACCCAAATTTATTCAATTGTTTGGCTACATTTTGCAACATGCTTTGGAAAGGATTATTTTGAAAAAAAGCTGGGCACCATAAATACACGATAAACTCCTCTACAATACTGACGGAGTATTTTGAGCGTTTGAAAATATATTTGAAATGTTAACGTGTCTGTAGGAATTTTCCATCGCAATCGTTTTCACTCAAGCGATGAGAATCACAAGGATTTTGCTGGGAGATATTACAACTGTGGAAAATTTGAAACAATATGTAGAAGAGCTGGTTATACCAACCAGAGAGGGATATTACATTTTTATAAAATCTTTTACGCCCAAAAATCAGTAATTTTATTCTCCATATTGTTCTTTGCACAATTCCTACCGTGCTGACAATGAAAACTTGATGAATAATCAGGCAGCGATAATTTCCTTTATTCTCATGAGCTTTATTTTTGTTTAAGTGGAGATACCGTGGATAGAAACCAGATGCTGGTCATTCTTGGGGGATTATAAAATAAATTTACCTCCTCCTTGCTTGCTAGTTTGTCGGCTGTTAATGTCCCAAGCTGAGAAATCATTTTCGAAATTTCACATTTGCCCTCCAAGCTTCGCTTATTATTCATTGTTCAGATATAATCAGCCGACGCTTGAACGGATTTACTCACTCAGTTAATCTGAAATCTCCTCAGTTAATTGTATAGATAAAATTATCGAGCAGATAAGGCACCAAGAGTAATTTCCAAGAGTTCTTTCCCGTTTGGCTTCAGGTGAGCACTACATCATTTGAAATCTTCTCGTAAGCTGTATTTTGACTTTCATTACCACTATTATCGGAATTGATTGGATGTATCTTTAGTTTCGAGAATACTTCCGCGTACTAACGCAACTTAATCGCTAATGTCGACAGAATCAATTCTAAAAAGATTAGCTACTCCAGGTTTTATACTTGTTGTGAAAAGATTATCTTAGAGCAAACGGGAAATCCAAAAATCTTTATTTCCCGTTTGCTCTAAGATGATCTTTTCACAACAAGTATAAAACCTGGAGTAGCTAATCTTTTTAGAGTTGATTCTGTTGGCATTAGCGATTAAGCTTCAATGGTACGCAGAAGTCTTCCCCAAACTAAAGATACATCCAATCAATTCCGATAATAGTGGTAATGAAAGTCAAAATACACCTTACGAGAAGATTTCAAATGATGTAGTGCTCACCTGAAGCCAGAGGAAGAAGTACAACGAGAGAGGCTACGCGGAAACAAAGCTTGAGAATAAACTGCGCCATGTTTCAATTGAGTGTGTCACTAAGGGTGTGTACAAAACGAAGACCGAAGACCGAAGACCCATAGTTAAACGCTTTGTCAGACGCCAATTGACGCGATTTAGGGGGTCTTTTCTACAAAACGAAGACCCCCTTGATTTCGCGTCAATTGGCGTCTGACAAAGTGTTTTTGTCAAAAAGTTGGCGATCCATCACAACCGAAGCTGCTTTATGACACAATCAGGCCTATTTTTTGACTGATACACTGAAACGTTTGAACTGTTTTAGCCGCCCCCACAAAAAAAAAAAAAAAAAAATATGTGCTTTCTATCACCTATCCTAAGACTAAGTCATTTTGCTATTAGGCCACAGCCAAGTCTTTAAAATTGTCGCATCATCACGCTATGCTTTCAATTGAGTGTGTCACTAAGGGTGTGTACAAAACGAAGACCAATGTTTCAATGTGCTTTGCACGTTTGAATTCCAAATTAATCGTTCAAAGAATATATCAGTTACCATTTAATTACCAAAAATCTAACTCTATGCACAATTCTATCTTACTTCTGATAAAAATACAATCTTATAGAAATTCTGATGTATTAATTGAAAACAGTGTGAATTAAATTCAGATAAAAAGAGAAAATGCAAAAGGCACCATAACCCTCCAAAACAAACTATAAAACTACAAACCACTTTTAATCTAACACTGTTAAAAGAAAACGATAACTATGAAACTTAGACTTTTAAGAAGAGACATCATGAAATATGTAAGTTGTCAAAAACTTTTCTTTACAATTAACTCAAAAAAAAAAACCCACAAAACTCTACAAATGTAATAACTTCTTTCTAGATACACCTAGTACCTCTTTCTTTTAATTGCTTAATTAGAAAAGTAGGATAACACAATTCATGATATTGCCATAATCCTAGGCCTCACAGGGACACATGCTTGTTTGTCAAGTTACCATAGCAAAATCTGATGTAAATTTATCAACAATCAAGCGGTGAACATCTTCCAGCTGACAACACCTTCACTTGCACGGACGCATTTTACCTACTTCCTATGACAAAAAACTCCTTTTTTAACTAAAATATGTAATCAAAACTTTTTTAGCAAAACTTTTTTAGCAAAACTTTTTTAGCAAAACTTTTTTAGCAAAACTATTAGGGGGAAAGGCCACCCGCTTAGAGGTAACTATGATTTGTTACAAAAATTTGAATATGAGGGGAAAAAGCTGCTTCGTTAAAAAAAAGATGTGCATCACTCCTTCCTGTCAAATCTTTTTTTTACTTTGCAATGCTTTTTAGCATTCTGCAAAGTTTGAGTACGTACTGAAAGAGTCTAAGTAAGCTTAAGTCTAAGTAAGTTGATTCTGTTGGCATTAGCGATTAAGTTTCGATGGTACGCAGAAGTCTTCCCCAAACTAAAGATACATCCAATCAATTCCGATAATAGTGGTAATGAAAGTCAAAATACACCTTACGAGAAGATTTCAAATGATGTAGGGCTCACCTGAAGCCAGAGGAAGAAGTACAACGAGAGAGGCTACGCGGAAACAAAGCTTGAGAATAAACTGCGCCATGTTTCAATTGAGTGTGTCACTAAGGGTGTGTACAAAACGAAGACCGAAGACCCTTAGTTAAACGCTTTGTCAGACGCCAATTGACGCGATTTAGGGGGTCTTTTCTACAAAACGAAGACCCCCTTGATTTCGCGTCAATTGGCGTCTGACAAAGTGTTTTTGTCAAAAAGTTGGCGATCCATCACAACCGAAACTGCTTTATGACACAATCAGGCCTATTTTTTGACTGATACACTGAAACGTTTGAACTGTTTTAGCCGCCCCCACACAAAAAAAAAAAACAATATGTGCTTTCTATCACCTATCCTAAGACTAAGTCATTTTGCTATTAGGCCACAGCCAAGTCTTTAAAATTGTCGCATCATCACGCTATGCTTTCAATTGAGTGTGTCACTAAGGGTGTGTACAAAACGAAGACCAATGTTTCAATGTGCTTTGCACGTTTGAATTCCAAATTAATCGTTCAAAGAATATATCAGTTCCCATTTCATTACCAAAAATCTAACTCTATGCACAATTCTATCTTACTTCTGATAAAAATACAATCTTATAGAAATTCTGATGTATTAATTGAAAACAGTGTGAATTAAATTCAGATAAAAAGAGAAAATGCAAAAGGCACCATAACCCTCCAAAACAAACTATAAAACTACAAACCACTTTTAATCTAACACTGTTAAAAGAAAACGATAACTATGAAACTTAGACTTTTAAGAAGAGACATCATGAAATATGTAAGTTGTCAAAAACTTTTCTTTACAATTAACTCAAAAAAAAAACCCAAAAAACTCTACAAATGTAATAACTTCTTTCTAGATACACCTAGTACCTCTTTCTTTTAATTGCTTAATTAGAAAAGTAGGATAACACAATTCATGATATTGCTATAATCCTAGGCCTCACAGGGACACATGCTTGTTTGTCAAGTTACCATAGCAAAATCTGATGTAAATTTATCAACAATCAAGCGGTGAACATCTTCCAGCTGACAACACCTTCACTTGTACGGACGCATTTTACCTACTTCCTATGACAAAAAACTCCTTTTTTAACTAAAATATGTAATCAAAACTTTTTTAGCAAAACTTTTTAGCAAAACTATTAGGGGGAAAGGCCACCCGCTTAGAGGTAACTATGATTTGTTACAAAAATTTGAATATGAGGGGAAAAAGCTGCTTCGTTAAAAAAAAAGATGTGCATCACTCCTTCCTGTCAAATATTTTTTTTACTTTGCAATGCTTTTTAGCATTCTGCAAAGTTTGAGTACGTACTGAAAGAGTCTAAGTAAGCTTAAGTCTAAGTAAGTTGATTCTGTTGGCATTAGCGATTAAGTTTCGATGGCACGCAGAAGTCTTCCCCAAACTAAAGATACATCCAATCAATTCCGATAATAGTGGTAATGAAAGTCAAAATACACCTTACGAGAAGATTTCAAATGATTTAGTGCTCACCTGAGGCCAGAGGAAGAAGTACAACGAGAGAGGCTACGCGGAAACAAAGCTTGAGAATAAACTGCGCCATGTTTCAATTGAGTGTGTCACTAAGGGTGTGTACAAAACGAAGACCGAAGACCGAAGACCCTTAGTTAAACGCTTTGTCAGACGCCAATTGACGCGATTTAGGGGGTCTTTTCTACAAAAGAAGGACCCCCTTGATTTCGCGTCAATTGGCGTCTGACAAAGTGTTTTTGTCAAAAAGTTGGCGATCCATCACAACCGAAGCTGCTTTATGACACAATCAGGCCTATTTTTTGAATGATACACTGAAACGTTTGAACTGTTTCGAAGACCGAAGACCGAAGACCGAAGAACGAAGACCCTTAGTTAAACGCTTTGTCAGACGCCAATTGACGCGATTTAGGGGGTCTTTTCTACAAAACGAAGACCCCCTTGATTTCGCGTCAATTGGCGTCTGACAAAGTGTTTTTGTCAAAAAGTTGGCGATCCATCACAACCGAAACTGCTTTATGACACAATCAGGCCTATTTTTTGATTGATACACTGAAACGTTTGAACTGTTTTAGCCGCCCCCACAAAAAAAAAAACAAAACAATATGTGCTTTCTATCACCTATCCTAAGACTAAGTCATTTTGCTATTAGGCCACAGCCAAGTCTTTAAAATTGTCGCATCATCACGCTATGCTTTCAATTGAGTGTGTCACTAAGGGTGTGTACAAAACGAAGACCAATGTTTCAATGTGCTTTGCACGTTTGAATTCCAAATTAATCGTTCAAAGAATATATCAGTTACCATTTAATTACCAAAAATCTAACTCTATGCACAATTCTATCTTACTTCTGATAAAAATACAATCTTATAGAAATTCTGATGTATTAATTGAAAACAGTGTGAATTAAATTCAGATAAAAAGAGAAAATACAAAAGGCACCATAACCCTCCAAAACAAACTATAAAACTACAAACCACTTTTAATCTAACACAGTTAAAAGAAAACGATAACTATGAAACTTAATAGACTTATAAGAAGAGACATCATGAAATATGTAAGTTGTCAAAAACTTTCCTTTACAATTAACTCAAAAAAAAAACCCACAAAACTCTACAAATGTAATAACTTCTTTCTAGATACACCTAGTACCTCTTTCTTTTAATTGCTTAATTAGAAAAGTAGGATAACACAATTCATGATATTGCCATAATCCTAGGCCTCACAGGGACACATGCTTGTTTGTCAAGTTACCATAGCAAAATCTGATGTAAATTTATCAACAATCAAGCGGTGAACATCTTCCAGCTGACAACACCTTCACTTGTACGGACGCATTTTACCTACTTCCTATGACAAAAAACTCCTTTTTTAACTAAAATATGTAATCAAAACTTTTTTAGCAAAACTTTTTTAGCAAAACTATTAGGGGGAAAGGCCACCCGCTTAGAGGTAACTATGATTTGTTACAAAAATTTGAATATGAGGGGAAAAAGCTGCTTCGTTAAAAAAAAAAGATGTGCGTCACTCCTTCCTGTCAAATCTTTTCTACTTTGCAATGCTTTTTAACTCGTGAATTGCGCGCATGCGCAAGAGCGAGTTATAGATACGATGTGGGGAATGGCATTCGCTCGCTCGCTCGATTGGTCGATTCCTGTAAACTTTTTTTTGATTTTAGGCTTTTGAGTGCATTTGATAGTTTTTGGCGAGCAATAAACAGACGAAATGGCGACCTTTGTTGCTAAGAATAGTGTTGGGGTGAAAAAGAAGCCAATGATAATATTAAAAGAGTTTTTTTTCGTTTTAGTTTCAACAAGCGGCGCCAGCGACTGGCAGGCATGCAAGGATTCACACTGAAATAACAGAACAACCTTCGTTTTTCATAAAATTGTAATTTACAATCCTTGAACTTGAAAAAAATCCGAAGATTCATTGAAAATATCACTTACTGCGAAGCGCTCGGAGTTTACAGATGTTCAAAAGCTTTTTCTGTTATAGCGTGAGATGGAGGACAAAATTTATCATTACGTTTCGTCGCGTGTGTTTTTCCTGTGTGAAGCAACAAAAGATGCCGGCGACTGACGAAATAACAAGTTAACACGAAAATCAAATAACACCTAAACAAACAATTTTAGCTACTGATTTTCAGTGAATTTTTAAAGAACAATTTTCTTTTAAGTTTCAGGACAATTTGAAGATTCAACATACATACAACGTACTAAAATGCGAAAGTTACACACCACAAAATTGATAAATAGGCCTGAAATGAAATTCTATCTTGTTATTGATTATACGTTGCCTAGCACGTGACTTAAATCTACCCAGGCGGAGATCCAAAATGACGGTGGCAGGCTTGGCTTAGTTATATCACTCAAAACTCGTTCCCATTTGTCTCATTTGATAAAGAGGGAATCGTTAATGTTTTCATTAAGACAGTATTGCATTGATTTTCTAATATTTACAACGAAAGAAAGTAAATTTCACTTTTCACCCACATTTACTTCCAACCTTTTCTTTTGAACCAGAAACAAAAATGATAGACGTTTAAAACACATGACATCATCCACCTTGTCAAATGTAATAGCATGATCATTTCAATTGTAATGCCTTCTTATCCCAACGTTACTTTGTTTCTTTGCTACATTAGCGAACACTGAACTACTGCTCGTACTCTAGATATGACAATCAACCACAAAATTCCCTAAACCAGATAACATTAAACATAGTCTAAAGAATCATGTGTCAATTCACGAGTTTGCTCACAGAGCACTTTGATTAGCATTCTGCAAAGTTTGAGTACGTGCTGAAAGAGTCTAAGTAAGCTAGAACTGTTTTGTAACAAAACATGTACAGCTCCTGAAAGATAAAAACAAAAAAAACACACCTTAGGCTCACGAAGATTATGCTATTGATCTGTGAGCGCCCAGCATTGTGCAAAGTAAGCTTAAGACGTGAAAAAGCAGCAAAAACTATTAAAAATGATGAAAAACGCGACAGAAAAGAGATCAGACGACATACTAAACTTGCAGACGTATCTTTAAAGTGACTATGTTGTTTGTTACAAATCCAAAAGGGATGACTTCTCCTGTGATTCCTTTGATAAATTTCAGGATAATGGGAAGCTCAAGCGTAGTTTATTGGGCGGGAGGGGGGGGGATGAACGTAACCCGCCCCTCCACCCATCCCCAGGCAGATATCCTGGAATTCTGTTACATCCCCAACTCACCCCGAGGTAGAACTCCTCTGTTACGCCCTTGACAATTTACACCTGAACAAAGCTATAACAATGGATCATGACACTTTTAACTTACCAGAGTGTTGACTGCACCTGGTCTCTTTGCTCGAACTAGTTTTACAGTCTGTAAAACATCAACTGTTTGTTCAGTCTTGACTCGTTCGATCACTGACATTATGGTGGCTACGCAGCCACTACGACCAGTACCATCACTGTAGAAAGATAAACGGAGAACTGATCAAGAAAGTTGAAAATTGTACAGTGGTGGATTCGTATTACAGGTTCTTGCCTTTGTTCTCCTAGCATCGAACTTCCACTGTTTTCAGAAAGATAAAACCATTAACACCGACCACGCCGGATACAGTCAACTAAACTGTCTCCTGTAAATACTGTATCTGTTGTAGACAGTGTGGATAGCTTTATCCATTGTAGAAAGTGAATAAACTAAGCTGTATTTACTGTAGATAATATATATTGATTATCTAATTGTCACAATGGAGAAAACTGTATATACTTTAGAAAGTGTAAATAGTTGTATCTAATAGAGACAATTTAGATAGCTGTATGTACTGTAGACAGTGAAGGTGGCTCATCTGATATAGTCAGCGTGGATAGCTCAATCTAACGCAGATATTGTAAATGGGTGCCTGTAGATAGAGGTAGATAGCAGTATCTAATGTAGACACTCTTGATAGTTGTATCTTTTTTAGACAAGATATGTTGTTTTATGTTCTGTTTACAGTCTGAACGCGTTATGCAAAAAGTATGTACATAAAGTCATACATGATTCGAGTAGCCATACGCTATTCTAGCATAAGTGCACAATTATTAGCCAAACGCCTAGTAGGTTTAGAATCACTTCTATTACAACATTTAAATGTATGATAACATCAATAAGAGACGTGCTCTTTATACCTGCACTGGAAAACTATGACTCTATTTCCTGATTGCTGCTGAGACTGCTGTACAGTAGTCATCAGGTCAAGTATATCCTGGGGATCTGGGCATGAGTTTTCATTGGCCCACCCAGTGTATTGTATATGCTGCAAAGTTGACGTCTTCTTAGGGGGCTGAAGAAAGAATTTAATTAGAAGCAAATCAAACTATTCTTTTTAGGAACACGAGGTCAAGTTATTTTAAATTAGTTATCGCGTGGGCCGCATAGTCCCACGTGATCACATAGCCAAGTCTTTTTTTTGTTGTTGTCGTTAAGAACTCAAAATCCCCCAGGAACGTTCATTCCTTGCTTCGCAGAACTTGTAAATACTTAGATAAAGTGTGAACTTACTTTTTATTTCATAAAACATTGCGATTTATTTTTTCATGCTTGTTGTACAATAAACTTAGTGGTGAATTGAATCGTGGGATTGTCTGTAACGTTCCCAAACACATTCCGTAATGAACAAAAATCACGATCATTTTCACAAATTTTCCACGCAGGATTAATTTGATTACGTAGAATGAAACATTGAAATTCGAAAAACAAACAAACAAAAACAAATCAAAAAGGAATTATTTCAACCACTAGATTCCGCAATTATGAATACGTTCAGAAAATCTCGGGTTCATTCAAACGATCTCCTCTTCTTTATATTTTCCTCTCCACTCATCACCTTTCCGCCAGAGAGTATTTTGATTCAGAAAGGAAAAAAATTACTCATTGGTCTCTCTCCTAATAATGAAATAGTTAAGGTCGAACTTCCGCACATCAAGAATGCACAAACGCCTCCTGTTGGTATAGATAAAAGTTTCCTCCAAACTAACCAGAAAAAATGGGACCTTACAATTCGAGAACAAACAAACTGTACCGCTGCATTCTCGACGCTGAATCCTCTGGTAGTGATATTGTTTGAAGTTTCTTGGGACCAAAGCTGGACAGTGACTTCACCATACTTGGCAGATCCCTCGCTTGGCCAGTATTGCGGGTAAATCTAAAAAAGAAAAGCAGTGTTAGAAGTATTATCCGTGAAACGAATAACTGAATATATGTGATATTAAGGTGGGCATGATAGTAGCAAGGATTTTCCGAAAAAGAGTTTCAACTATAGCGTCTCACTGACATTTGAGAGCATACTCAGTAAGTCAATCACTGTAAAATGTTACTTTCTCTCGACGATGAATGGTACCAAATGGCTCCTCATTCTAAAAGTGTTGAGATGATAACCGAAACACAGTGACGCGTCCTGCCAAAATGTCTTAATAATTATTTCTTTACCAATTTGTTTAACGAATAATGGTAATCTATCAAAGTTCACCAGATATCAATAGTAACCCATATCAGTAGCTGGCTGTCTTGAAATAAATCACGTGATTTCTAGCACAATCTAGCAAAGCTCTAGGATATTGATTAGGCGTATTTTGCACACTTCGTTGCAAACATAGAGTGAAGAGTGTTGCTATATGCTTTTCAAAAACATGCCATGATTTTTACCTGCTTTCCTTCTTCCAAGTTATTCAACATCACAACTGTGCCAATATCATATTGAGAAATCATAAGCCAGAAGTCTATAATGGTGCAGTCTAACGGAGTTTGTGTCAGGATGTATGCATTACGTTGTGTGTAGTCCTGATAAATGAAAGATCAAAGAAAATATGGACGTCAAGTTAAGCAACACGAATATACCAATACGAAAAGAATAATAACACCACAACCCAAGAAGGAAAACTTGAATAGAAATAAAGATCTTTTTATGGGTTGACTGAATTAAAAAATCTACTATACGGACACGTTGCAACAGAAAGCTTTCTAAAGAACCCGAAAATACGGAGTCTTTTCTTATCAGCACGCTAAAATTACAGAATATATTATGAAAATTTTACAAGGGCATTTTTGCACTTACATCCACATAAGAGGCATTGATGTAACTCTTTTCTTGTGAAGACGCTTGTAAATGCACTCGAGCATTGTCCACTAATACAAAATCGAATATAAGTGTTTAATGTTTAATAAAATTAAAGGCATTTGTGCAAACAAAAAATATACTTAACAAAAGTTATAAGGATTGTCTCAGATCTATCGTTTGGAAACATTATACAATGTGTGGCGCCACCTGAAATTTGGAGTGGAAAGTTAGGGAACCAGTTGTCAAATTTTACGCATTTTAGTTATCCTAGAGATACTTCAAGCTAGTCGACGCAAGTTGTCCTAAAACACAACACAGCGACTTAACCATCACTTAACAAATAGAGAAGCCTTGACTATGCTGTGTTCCGTTGTAAAGAACGCAGGAAGCGGCTAAAACACGAAAGAAGTGTAGGGAGAAACACGAGACATGGTGAAATTTCACTTTTACATAACGAACAAAACAAGAGATGTCCGGGAAATGGTCGGACATAGTACAAATTGGCGGATGGCGTGACAGCTCTAGTTCAGCTCCGTGCTCTGTACTCTGATAGAGCAGCCTCTTTCAACCAATGAAAGGGTGCGTTATAGTCTCTTATAGGCTATAATCTTAGTTAATCAAAAGTAACAAAATGATAGAGTACGATTGATGATCGGTAGCTTGGACAGCGCACTAATCTAATAGTGCACGATTCATGCCTGTAACCGCACAGTAAGAAAGGATAGTTCGCGCGTAATCAATGTGTATTTTGTTCCCAAAATGCTCTGACAGTTCTGATTGTTCAGTAACAGAACTTTCTGTCGTCCAAATCTATCTTGTGACAAAAAAAACTAACGTTGCTTGTGGTCTTTTGATTTCGTTGATCACTGGTAAGATCACAGACTGAATGAGACCCCACTCGGTTTAAGACTCCGCTAGAAAACAATTCAGGAGTAAGCAAAAGTTTTGTTTAGTGTTTCTGAAACAATGCAAACAAAGACAAAGGAAAACTTACGCGGAACAATGTTGGGGAACCTGTTCTTGACGACGTTTGCGGGCATAAATGCGTTAGTTGCTACTTCTTGAGAAGCGTGGGCGTCTGTTACAAGCTCCAAGCACTACAACACATAAAATTCTCTCAGTTCGTCCTATCTAGTTTTAATTCCCTCCATCTTAAGCCATTTTTGTTCGGTCCTGGTTAATTGCTGTTTCCATAGCATTTTTGTTTCTTACCGAACTAATATATTGCTGTTTCATTCAGGCTATAGGTAATCTTTTTTTTTTTCCGTGCTAAACACACACACACAAATTAAATTAATAGAAAAGTGAAACAAAATATTGTGATGTAAGATCAACAAATTACAGAGTAGTTCATCTGCCACTAATATGTATGTTAAAAAGAAATTTGCAGGAGTTATCCATGAACAAAAGCACGCTTTGTATTTTGATAATTACGTCTGACAATAATTTTTCGAGATTTTTTTGTCTTTAAGAACTGTAGATGAGATATGAACATGAAGTTAACAAAGTCACATTGACACGTCTTTAAAAGAATCTCCAGAAGCAAGTAATCAGCTGTCTTGTCAGCATTTACGTTTACGCACAATTAACAACATATAAAACCAAACTCAGTTTCTAGGAATAGTTAACACTTGCCTTTAACTCTCGTTCATATCCAGTCTTTTTGGATGGTTTATGCACCTTGGCAAGCTTGTTCGTCGCAATTCGTAGGTCCTGAGGGATAATCTCTGTATTTCCACATACCAAGGTTTCCATCACTGCTTGGTGCAAGAAAACATACTGGTCCTATACAGAGATAAAGTACATACCAATACTGTTGCAAAGGACAGTCTTTGATGAAGCTAAATTTAGGAAATTCCTCACCATCAAACTGAAACATCCATGACAAATAAAGCCTGTATCCTCGCTACCAACCAAAACATCATCGTTTAAAACCGTGACGTTCCTGGCGTTGGCCGAAGAGCAAATCTGAACTCCACAAAGAAGGTCGGCCATTTTTCCATATATCATTCGTATTCTCAAATTATTCAAACCTGATTTACACACCATAGACTAAAATTCGGTTTAACTGAGCATGTTTTGTTAGTGTGAATGAGTTATAAGATACTGAGGAACGAGTTATTTATTACTCTAGAAGTTAAAAAAGAGTGGTGCTCACTGTGATATTCAGTTTTACATAAACTCTGTATTGTACTAAATTTTCAGATGGAAATTGAGAAAGGTTAGGATTTTCTATAAAGTAATCTGGGTGTCATATCGAAATCATAAAAAGGCCTTTGACGGTCATCATAATGACCAGGCTTGGGTTATTAAGACACCGTATCAGTTTTACTATCATGACACACTCTTTTTAAAGATACACTGGGGGAAAGTAAATAGGACTTTTGCTGCTGTTATTCTTATGGAAAACGGTTAAATTTGTTAGCTTACATCTTTCTGAATCATATAAGGACGAGATCTACGCATGACTTGCACGTAATTCTGTATAAACACAGTTTTTATCTTCTCAGCACTCTCCAACATGGCGTCGATAGCAATGTATGTGCCAGTTCGACCAACACCAGCACTGTACAAAGGTAACAACAGATGTAAGTAACAACCAACAGAGAGAACAATAGAGGAAAAATAGCAAGAACTATTAAGGGTCCCGACCAATAAAGGGGAAACGGCAGGAGTAGAAGGTAAAAGTTGGAGACCTGACTATTGAAATACCTCAGATACCTCTAGGCTTCACTTCTAGCAGGGTTCACTTGTGTTTTTAAAATTCTCGACATCATTGGTGGGATCAGTAAGAGTATTGAGAGTAAACAATTGAGGTCTATTTATTAACCCTATAGCTCCTCGACCAAATTTGTAATTCTCCTAACCGTCAACCATACAATTCTTAATATGTTAGTTCGGAGAATTAAGTATTGGATCAACTTATTATCCCCAAGCTGATATTTCTCTTTATGCTCATCACCTATCTGGTTGACATTGTATTGATATTGTAAGGAGAAATTCTGTCTTAGTCACTCATGGGAGCTGAAGGGTTAACTACACTATAAAAAAGAGCCCTACACTAACGCATATAATTCTAACACTGAAGACAGTTTTACTGTTTTAATTTCAGTTCTTTTAGGTTCCTTGTGATATTAATCTTTCTTCAGATCAAAACGTTTATTTCCTGTTATCCAAACCAGATAGAAATCGCAATTGAAATATCTACAAAAGAACTAAACTAATATGCGATAAAGATTTGCGAATGTGAAGCATTTATTTTGAAGTCTTCAAATTTTACCATGCTTTTTACCTGCAGTGCACAACAAGAGGTCCACCAGTCGCCTGGTGCCTCGCATGAATCTTTTGTCTAAATCCAAGTAGAGCTGTGGAATGTTGTGGGACACCTTTGTCTGGCCAAGTGACGTAATGAAACTGCTGCACGGCCCTTTTTTCTGAGTCCTAAGTGAAAATTCGTTCTCAAGTTGGGAATGTTGTTACAGAGGGAGCTCTCTTAGTTTAAAATACGCAGTCATTCTTTGTAAGTAGTTTACAGTAAAAAAATGCAAGACGTCGTATTCCAAATAACGTAATTTCATTTCGAACAGAGACAACCCACCTTTGTCACAATCAACGACCTGATGACGTAATCGGCAAATGTTTCAGTCTTGTGTAGGGTAACTGTGATAGCACCAAATTTGGAAGTATCGTCTGGCCAATACTGATCGC